ACATCCCCATGCATCATCTGGGGATCCTCCAAGGTGGGCCTCGTAGGAACTGCCTTGGAGCAGCTGCTCAGTCTGAGTAGCATAGGCGCCGACTCCATGACTGTACAGCCATCTACTCCAGCAACAAAATCATCAAGTTTGCTGATGATACTACGGTGGTGGGGCTCATTTCAGGAGGGGATGAGTCCGCCTATCGGGACGAGGTGGAGCGGCTCTGTGTTTGGTGTGGAGAGAACAATCTGGCTCTTAATACGGCTAAGACCAAGGAATTGGTGGTGGATTACAGGGGAAAAAAGGCGGACATTCAGCCCTTGTATATCAACGGGGAACGGGTGGAGAGGGTGGCGGAATTCAGGTTTTTGGGAGTGACTATCGATCAGAGCATGACTTGGAGCGCAAATACCACTGCTCTGGTGAAGAAGGCCCAGCAGAGAATTTATTTCCTCAGACTTTTAAAAAAGAACAATCTGAGTGAGAGACTGCTGGTGTCCTTCTACCGAGGCTCCATAGAGAGCATACTTACATACTGTATTTGTGCTTGGTTCTCCAGTTGTACAGCTAGGGAGAGGAAGGTGCTCCAGAAGGTCATAACCACAGCCCAAAGGATTATTGGTCACCCTCTCCCACCTTTGGAAGAACTGTACGGTTCCCGTTGCCTTAGGAAAGCAAACAACATCCTGCAGGATCCATCTCACCCGGGATACAGTCTGTTTGCACTACTGCCTTCTGGCAGGAGGTATAGAAACATCAAGTCAAGGACAAATAGACTGAAAAACAGTTTCTATCCAAGAGCTGTGGCCTTTTTGAATGCTGTAACTCGATAGTGAGACCTGGGAGTTTGATGGGTGTGGGTGTGGTTGGAAGGTGGTTTGTTTGGTTGTTGTTGTTGTTTTGCTTTTGTTGTTTTTAAGGGATGGCATCCAATTTCGTTGCACTTGTGCAATGTTGCACTTGTGTAATGACAATAAAGAATCTATCTATCTATCTTATTTATTATTCATGAGCTTTCCCGGGGCCCCCCAATATTTTTTATAAGTCCGCGTCCCTGCTGAGTAGGTCAAGTACTGTAGCAGCAAAGAGCTCTTGAGCAGACTAATCAGGAGAGAGATTTAGACACCATTCTGCACACTGCGGGGGGGGGCGTGCACAGAGCAGAAGACAAGCTCATGTACCACAAAGTTGGGTGGCCAGGTGCGTAGGACAGCTCTCTTTTGATACACTTGCCCAGTATCCTTAATTGACCTCTGAAATCCTAGTGGTTTGAATGGTTACAAAAGGTTTGTGAAGTGTGTGTGTTTGTTTGCATAAATATTTGCATATATGTGTGTAGTTTTCTAATGCTCTGTTTTGCTCTGTAGAACTGCTGGGACCCTGGCAAGGTGGCTGGGTTTGTTGCTGGTGATGTTAGCAGCAGCAGTAGCTGTACACATTATCAGGAGAACGGGCACCTTTCAGTGCATGTAGACAAAGCTCTTGACTTTTTTCTTCAGAAGGACTGCTTGGTGGTCAGAGCTTAACCTCCCACTCAAGCCATGGTGGGGAGCTTGATAAAACTCTGCCTCTGTCCTCCAGCACTTCCCAAAGAGAAAGAGAGAGGGCAGGACTTCAAGTGGGTTGCAAAGTGCGTCTCTCCTGCCCTTTCCACAGCTGCTCCCATAGGAGAAGGCTACTGAATCTGGGAAGGGGAGGCTCAGGAATCTCAAAGTTCTTCAGAGGAGAAATAGACATGGATAAGAAAGAGGAAATGGCTGTGCAGTGGTGCTATCCTGGTAAAGCAAACACAGACCCCAGCCTGGATTGGGCCAGAGTTTACAGCAAGTGACTTCTTCAAGCATTCACTGTTCGCTACAACATGTTGTGCCCATGTTGTGCTTCCAGAGGCTGAACAGTTGTATGGAAAGTTGCAGCTTGAGTCCACAGTGAACAGTTCCAATGACCTGTTCATGGCAGGTGAGGAAAATGTTGCCAGCCAGAAGCAAAGGGGGGTGGGAAGCAGTAGACTGAGGGTGATAATGCACTGAAGTTTGGGGGGGGTGAATTTCACAGCAATTTCCCTACTAGGTGTTCACATCAACATGGCTTCAATTTGTTTTTGTTTGTGTACACACCAGGGCAAAGTGAGGGGGGCAGGGATATATTTACCCTATACAAAGGTGTTGGTAAGAGACAAATCAGGATCAGCTTAAGGGCTCTGATCAGTGTGAAGGTAGTTTGAGAAACAGGGCACCAAACAGGAGTCTTTTGTAATACAGGATACATATGCATTTTGGATATTGTTGTGTGAATGTGGATTAAAACCCTGCTCAGCCTTCCTCTCCCCTTGTCCTGTTTTACCTCTAGACATGTGGATATAGACAACAGTGCCTTTCTGAATGCATAAAGACCCCTGCTTAGCTAGAGCTGGCTTCAAAACATCAGAGATTAGGGGACTGCTACTGCTGGGAAGGAAATGCCTTTTAGCCTGCTGGAATGGCCAGTGCAGGCCCTTAGGAACAGATAAAAAGACAAGGCCTCGGCCCTTTATATCAAGCCCCTGTGTACCTGCCAATGGGGCATGTGATGTGGAGGATCTCCTCATGGACTGTGTCCAAATAGTAAACTGATAGGTCATGAGGGATGAACCACCATGGCAGAATAACTCCAGGAATGGAAGAAGTACTTTATGCTTCTACTGAATAATGCTTGCCTTGGCCCGTGTGGCAATGTGAGGGAATAAAATGACTGTTCTGTGGTCAAAGAGCCACACTGTGGCCTTTGGTCATCACCCTCTCCATTCCTTCTTGTGTGATGCACTTGATGAAGTGAATACTGTACTTTCTCTCTCTATCTCTGGCACACATGCATGGGGTTCAGCTTTCACAATTCCAGGTTTCCACCAAGGACACAGCTTCATTTCAGGCACCTTCGATCAGCAATTTGAAGGCGAATTGCTTAGCTCATGAGAATGGTCTAAATCTGGAAGCCTAACGGTGCGTTTTCTCTCCCCCCGCCCCCTTCTCTCTCATGCTGCAGGATTCTCCCAGTTAATGAAGTGTTTTATGAACCCTACAGAAGCCTGCTTCTTGCTGTAGAGGTTACTGAAGCATCACAAACTGAGGTAAAAAATACAGCCCCCTTTGCTGCTTGTGTGATGCAGGGACCTATCCAGTCTTAGAGTTCAGAGGGCGCTGGGCGAGGCCTAGAAAAGCAAGTGTAAAGGCAGGTCTTCCTCTAAACATGTAGCAGAACAAGGTGGCAGAATCCTGAGGGAGCGGAGTGCACTGTGCCACATCAGATGGAACATGATATTTTTTAATATAAAAAAACACTCTTATGTAAAGAACTTGCAATCAACAAATGAGAGTTTGGGGGTGCAAATAAGTATTTCTAAAATGTGACAACTCCCCTCCCCCACCTGCATTTTGAAATTTGCAATCTGAAATTATAACCATCCATTCTGCCACATCACAACTTATTTATTTGCAATGTTTACAGACCGCCTTTCACCACAGATTGTCACAAAGCGGTTTACGCAAAAATCAATAAATATATCAGTTTAACACAAACCAAAATCAGATAAAAACATAACTTGAATAAATGAACTTGAACAAATACACTTGAATAATGTACAATTATTTAAATACCTGCTGAAATAGAAAGGTCCTTGAGAAGTGTTTGATTGAAGTCCAGTAGAGAAGGGGTCTGTCAGATCTCAACTATTGGGGAGTTCCACATTATCAGGCCCACAATATGGACTGTCTGGCCCTTAGGAGACACAAGCCATGCATATCTGAGCTACAAGTGGTGCTAAGTTCTTCTTTAATGCTAGGGGCTGCCTCCCCTTCTCACTCCACTTGCCAACTCCACCTGCCCCTTTGCCAACAGACCTTTCCCCACACTTGACCCCCCCTCGCTTTACACCTCACCCATGCCCTTGCCTGTGCCCTCTCACAGCTCACTCTGCACACCCTCACCCCAGGCCCCAACACCTTTTAAAGGAGAGTGAAGTGCTTCACAGAGCAGCTTGCTAAACTGCTGTGTGAAGTGTTTCCTGTCCTCCATTAAACCTTGCTGCAGGCCCATTGGTTGGTGTGGCTGTCTATTGGCAAGCCACGCAAACTCCAGAGCATGACAGCACTTTACATTTCTATGTATATAGACAGATAAAGCAAGGATACTCACTTTGTAGGCCCAAAACAAGTGGCTTTTTATCCACAAACTGGCTAACACAGGAAAATGAAAGTAACCACAAGAAGAAACTAAAGGATTGAGTCTTAGCTCCAACCCATAATAACTGGAGACAATATTTAACTCTGTAATTACCAATTACTACATTGGGTTGCTAGCAGTGATTCCCTCAAAGACCTCCATGATCAGGGGAAGTTATAACTCTTTTAAGTGTCCTGGGCCCAAGTTGTTAAGGGTGTTGTAAATTAACACCATAAGCTTTAACTTGGTCTGGTAGCATATGGGCAACCAGTGCAAGCTTTTAAGCACCAGAGACCAGAGTTATGTGCTGGCAATAGACTGTCTCCACCAACAGTCTAGCTGCAGCGTTTTTCACTAGCCAGCTTCCAGCTTCCAGACAAGGCCCAAGGGCAGCCCCACATTGAGTGTATTGCAGTCATCAAGTCTTTACTGCTTCATTCGTTGTATGGTTAGGTCAGGCTTACAAAGCATTCATTGGTGCACAGTAACAAGGAAGCAGAGAGCAGAGAGCCGATCAGGAGGACAGGTCATTGACCAAGAGACTCACTTTTTATCCAAAGCGCAACAGAGCCTTCTCCCAGTCCCAGGCCTTTCCTGATGATCAATGACTGCCAGGCTCAACTCACATGCAGTCACAAAGAACTGAAAAGAGTCACTGTTGTTAGTGATGCCAAGAAAGGCTTCACATCACCCTGTACGGTATCAGGCATAGACCTTGTTGGGCACTTGCCAAGGCCCGCACACTTGCAGGGAGAGCCACTGCAACTCTCTGGAGACTCCTAGCCCTGCTGCAACTCCTCTTTGCTGTCACCTGCCTCCTCTGAGCATGCCAGCAGCAGCAGCAACAGCAACGCACCCTTAGCGCTGCCTTGTGCTTTCCCTCTGAGTGATTGTATGGATTGGGCCTGGAAAGAGAGGACAAAGTGAGCAGGCAGACATGCTGTGGAGGAGAGGGCCCACTGAAAGTGCCTTACCTGAAACCTAGAGCTGCCCCAGTAGAGAGCTTTAGGAGAGCAAACTGGGCTAGTGGGTGGCTACTGCCAGGATCAGATTATGGTCTCTCCTTGGCAACGAGTGCCCATTCATACCCTAGTCAAGGGGTGGGGAAATCTGTAGCCCACCATATGTTGTTGGATTTCAACTCCCAGCAGCCCCAGCCAGCATGGCCAAAGACCAGGGATGATGGGAGTTGTAGTCCAGCAAAGATGTCTATGGCCACAGGCTCCCCAGCCCTGCTGTAGGCATTGCGTGGTGGAACTGAAGCTGCTGAGGTACGGTTGTTCTGCTGCTGAGCTGGGAGGAAGGGGAAGTCCAGTGGAGGCTGAGGGCTCTGGAAGCACGCAGAAAGCTCTCACAGGAAGTCTGAGGTGCAGCACAGCACACTCTGCTTCCCTCTGGGAGTCCAAAATAGAAAATATAGAAGTGGTTGTGGGATTTCCACACAGACAAGGCTGCAATGAGATATATAGACAGAGCTGAGCTGCCTGCAGCAGCAGCAGTGACACGTGCCCTCTTCACTCACTCAAGCCCTTCAGAGAGGACCTGTTTGAGGACAGAGGGCTCTCTCTGAAGCAGGTAAGCTGGGAGGTCCTGCTTTCCCAAGGGTGCTGTGGGCGGGATGGTTTAGGAAGGAGAAAGGTGGTGGTGAGAAGCATTGAGGAGGAGGAGGGTCTACACTGGGCCAAAAAGGGGCTATGGACAGGGACCCCATTGGAAAAGGGGCTCTCAGTAAACACCTTTAACTCAAACACCCATTTCTGAATTTTGTACCATATATCTACATGGTGGAAGTGGTGCTGCTGCCACCCACCTTAGAACAGGCTGTGTGACCCAATCGTGGGCTCCGACCCCTCAACTGAAGACCAGTGTTTCTGAGTAGGGGAAGCCAGTGTGGTGCCCTCCAGAAGTTCCCGCACTCCCAGTTCCCACCCTCACTGACCATTGGCTATGGGGCTGCTGGGAGTTGGAGTTCCACACCTGGAAGGTACCACATGAGCTGCTCCTTCTCCTCTAGAGGAACTCTGTGCTCAGAGGGGCTTTCTTGCAGCCTTTCTCTTCCTCTCTTTCTCAATCTCTCTTTCTTTCTCTCTACCTCGGTTGTTTTCTTCCATCTTCTGTTCTGTTTCTCCCGCTCAGGTCTGCTGGCCATGGGCAACCTGATAAAGGTATTGGGCAAAGATTTAGAAAACTGTCCTCATTTTTTCCTGGATTTTGAAAGTAAGTCCCATGCGCAAAGGAGGGACGGGGGTGGTGTCTGTGATTACTGGCAGAAGGAGTTGCTGTTCTCCACAAATTTTGGGGGTCACACTTTATAAATATTTGAGGTGGTGCCAATATACTTTTTTAAAAAAAGAAGAAGACTTTGTTGGGAAGCAGCAGGCAGTGACAAGCAGACACTGTAACAGACTGGGCATAACTACACTACAGATTTGCAATTTAGCTGCCATGGCTGCTCCCAGAGAATCCTGGGAACTGCCCCCCCCCCCCGCTGTCTTAGCTGAACTGCAAAGTGAATGGGGTGGAAGCTGGTTTGAGGGAAGATGCATCAAACCACAGTCTTTCACAGGAAACTTCAGAATAGATATGGATTGTGGCTAACATCATGTGTACACAGCTTCAAACACCAGCAGTGGGAGCGCACTAGGGCCAGAGTAGACAGTCATGTGTACACAGCCTAAGAAGAACTTTAACCATGCAAAAATGGCACTTAGGAAGAGAATATTAATGCATTATTATTATTATTATTATTATTATTATTTGCATAGAAAGTTAAGTTGCACTTTTCCTGTTAAAAGCAATAGGATGAATATTAGTTGTGACCAGCCCATCCAACATCCAACATGCCCTGGTGTTCCATGTCAGGTGTGGTAACTAAAGTGTGAGCTGAGAACTGGGCAGTCCCTCCTTCAAATTGTGTTCACCGCACTCAGACCACTATTTATTGGCATTGGGAATTTCCATCTGTAATATGTGGATATTAATTTATCTGAAAGAGACAATTAAAGGATTACTGTGAAAGTGTATCTGAATCACACTGAGTACTTAAAAGGACTATATTAAGTTTTATTGTTTCCAGGAGGAGTTGGAAAGAAATATCTTTCTCTAGCTGAGGGCCAATTTCCACAACTTTTCAAACATGTGCCAAGTGTTTTACAGTTGACTGTCTTCACAATATTTCTTTCTTCAGAAGAAATCCATAGACTGACTAATAATAATAAAAATATTTAAGTGGTATACATAAAATAATACAAAATAATTATCAATAACACAGAAACAAAATCAGCAGCATTTTAAAAACAATACACCTGCAAGGAATGCCAGGGTTTGAGAGACTTATCAAAAACTACTCAAGGAACTTCATAGCCAAGGAGATAATTTGGGCCTTGAACTCATGGGTCTAATCCCCAAACTCCAGGGTCAGTGACATCTTGGACTCATCAAAGAGGGAAAAGAAAAGGCAGCCTCTGATCTGGGCAGCAGCAAACCATTTCGTGCCAGCTGTTCTTATGCCCTTTCTGTGCTCCCAACCTGGTGCCCTCCAGATGTTTTGGACTACAACTCCTATTGGCCCCAGCAGCATATCTGTATGATACTGGGGCTGATGAGAATTGGAGTCCAAATCATCTGGAGAACACCAGGTTGGGGAAAGCTGTTGCAGGGCTTAGTCTGTTGTTCCCTTTCCAAAGAGGTAAGGGCTGATTCACAAAGGCCCTGCAGCATTTCTGGCCTGTTGCTATGGCCGCCAAGGCTATTGGGTCCTGCTAAGCAAACATGACCGACGCTTGTGCCAATGTGTGGGCTGAATGAAGGCCTGATGGCTAAATGGAGTCCCTATGTGGGCAAATGCTTTGGCTGCCATCATAAATTCAACCTTTGGTGAGACTCTCCCAAACTTGCCAGCCATAGGTCCTGTTGAACAACCAAGCTCCCCTTAGCCCCCAAATCTGGTTGGAGAACAGTGACTCTTGTCCTCCTCTGTTCCTTATCATTGGTCTTCCTCCCCATCAGTCAATGCACATCTCCATTCAGGGGCAGGAAGAGGTGGGGTGGGCCTCTCTATACTGAAATGTGGACCACCAACAGTTGTTTATTTTCTTCCCCTCTAGTCTAGCCTTCGCCAGCCTGGTTCAGAAGTCTTCAAGTGTTTTGGGCTACTACTCCATTGGGCTGATGGGAGTTGTAGTCCAAGTACACCAGGAAAGAACCAGGCTGGCAGAGACTGGTCCAATTAATTGAGAATTGACTAAAACATATCTCTGAATGCTACAAAGTTTGTGGGCCTGTTCACCTCATCACCAAGCACTCTCAGCCAAATAAGCTGTAACGTCTGGTTAGTGGTCCTATTTGAATGTAGAAATTGTTTGCTGAATGACTCTTCCTGCCACCCAGAAAGGGGTACCTTTCCCAGTGACATTCTCCCACAGACCTCTCCTTCCTTCCCCACCTCACTACCCATCATGCTTTTCTCCCTCTTGTCTCTTCTCTTGCAGGTAGCACATGGGGAACCTTCTTAAAGTGTTGACTTATAACGAGCTTGACCAAGGCCCTAATTTTTTCCTTGACTTTGAACGTGAGAAGGGATTTTTTTATTTTTTTGCCTTTGTTTTCATTCATGACTTTCTTTCATTGATTTAATTCATGATTAAAATTGATTTATTTCGTTTTGTGTGGAGGTGTAGAGGCAAGGGCTTGTATCCTCAGGGCAGTTTCTTGTGGATTCAGCGCTGCTCAGGCATACAAATGGTTTTTTTGCAGCATCCACACAATGTTGACCTCACCAAAATGCCATCCCATATCCCTATCCAGATTTACCACTTCCACAAGTTATTTACTTACCAGATTTCTCATGGAAATGGTAAAAAACAAAACAAAAATTCCATATTAAAAAGGAGAATAATATGGGACAGTATTTTTGTGAGGTGGGTGTCATGTAGATGCTGCAAAAACATTACTGAATGAGCAGCACCGAGTCAGCAATAAACTGCCATGTGGAATTCCCCAAGAAGCTTCAGGGTGAGATCTAGAGAGGCAGAGGAGGGAATCAGCAACCAGACAAGATAATGGCTGCTGGGCTATGCACAGCAGAAATATGCTTCTGTTGCAGGTGCAATGCCTTCTTTCTGGCAAGATGATAATTATATAGCAGTGGGAAAGGGCAGTAGCCAATCACACTGAGAGCAAAGGAGGTGGGGCAAGGGAAGAGATTGGTGGACCTTCTCAGAACCCTGGATAGTGGACAGTTGTTTTCTGAAGAGGAGGGTGATGGGCCAGAAAGTAAGGCTTCTCCTTCAGCAAAGCGCTCAGAAGCTCCCACATTTGGAGACGTCCTACAGGCAGCAGTCTGCATCTCCTCCAGAGTGACGGCCTGACTGCAGCCACATTTCCAGGATTTGTTAGAGTTGTGCTAGCATCTCAGTAAAGAGGCATTTAGCAGCCCTGCGGTGTCCAGACAGCATTGCCAAACAATTAACTTTCGGGGTTCAAATGGCACATTGCCACACCTCCTCACAAGCAGACGCCAGCCTGGACCTGGACTGCTGTAGGTGTGCTCTGTGTGCCTGACCCACTCCCACTTCTCAAGCTCCCATAGGGTGTGGATGAGACCTGCTGGGCCCTAGGACTGCTGAAGGTATGCAGTCTGGGGAGAGAGGCATGGAAGACGAGTTAGCGCTAGATAAGGCAGGCAGGCCAACAGTCCTGGAACCCTGCTTTGGGGAGGAGAGTGGTGGGCAGCTCACTGCCTAGGATGCCGTTGGCTTAGTGCCTCCTAGAGTTTTGTTTTTTATACTTTGTGGTTTCCTTTTGGTCCTCCTGTATATTTATTTTCTAATATTTTCCCGGTACAACTAAGGGCCAAAGGTCTGTGGCAGCCCTCCCCAGCTTGTCACCCTCAAGATATTTTGGACTACAGTTCCCATCAGCACCAGCCAGCATGGTTGTATGAGTCAGGGTTCGTCCATATTTACGTTTGTCCTGTGCCTAGGAAGCACATGTCTGGGAGGTTTTCTGCTTCTTCCATGCTTTCTAGGCACACGTCCAAGTGGTTTTCAGTTTGCTTGGCCGTTTTCTTTGGGGAAACCCACTCTTTAACCACTAAATCAGAGCAAACGTCAATCCGTGGAAAACCCAGTTGACATTTGTGGATGAGCCCTCGCTGAGGCTCATGGGAGCTGTAGTCCAAAATGTCTGGAGGGCTACAGATGGTAAGGATGGTCTGTGGGCTTCCCAGAGAAAGACATGCAAGAGAGGGGCTCTGTCGCAGCTCACAGGCCGGGCCATGGCTTCCCAGTGCTCTTTGGGGGCAGCCCAAGACCTCATCCCCTCCCCAGGCGGTTGCACAACGTGACCTGGGTACACCCGACAAGCCTTGCCCATGATGCCAAGGGGTTTGGGGGGAGGCAGAACTCTCTGGTTGCAAATAACTACTCCCCTGGTCCCCCTGACATTCCTTAGGTTGCCCCCCCACCCCCTGACCAGGCCGAGGGAGCTCTTGGATCCCCTCATTCCAAGCAAGCCATCCCAATGTCCCTCCCTCCCTTCCCCCTGGGGCTGGGCTGAGAAAGTGTCCTGCAGCACGAGTGTCCTGATCTTTCCCTTTCTCTCTGGGTGGGGTTCGCTGCAGATGCACAGCCCACAGAAGCCGAGACAGCTGTGTGGAACCAGGTGAACGCTGTCCTAGAGGAGGCGCAGACCATTCTGGCGGAACTGCAGTCCTACACCGGAGCTGGGCAAGAGATCAGAGAGGTACTAGGAAGAGCCTGCTGGATCAGGCCAGTGGCCCACCCAGTCCAGCATCCTGGTCTCACAGTGGCCAACCAGATTATTCAGTGGGAAACCAGCAAGCGAACAAGAGTGCTCTCCCCTCCTGTGGCTTTCAGCAACTAGTATTTAGAAGCATTGCTGCCTCGGACTGTGGAGGGCAGAGCATAACCATCATGGTATGACCTGAGCCCTTCCCAAAGCTGACCCCCACATTCCAGAGCTAGGAGCAATGCTAGCAAGTGGTCTGGATTTCCCTTCCTCTCCCCACAAAGATTTTTGTACTTTTGCAAAGCTAACATTTCAGGAAGAAAACTAAGCATCTTGTGTTACTTTATCACAGGCCATCCAAAACCCCAGTGACTTGCAGCTCCAAGAAAAGGCATGGAACGCCGTGTGTCCCCTTGTGGCAAAGCTGAAGCGTTTCTATGAGTTTTCCCTTAGACTTGGTAAGTGCCCTCCCACATCCTAGCAAGAGGATGTGTTCTCTCATTTTCTCATTCTTCTCATCTTCAGTTCGACGCACTTCCACATTAGTTTGCAAACCTCTTTTTAAAAAAAACCCATAAGGAAACAGTGGCACATGAAAATGTCTTTCTTCCTAATATCTGGGTACATGACTTTGTTTAGCATATATATTTTTAAGAGGCAATTTGTCCCTAATACAATGCATTTCTTTATGGTGATTTCACGAAAATACTTGCTTCTGCATGCCCTTCTCATTACTATAAACGTTTTTGGTGTGAATTTTCAAAGGAGAAGCTGTGCTTTGGTTCCAGAAGCAGAGCTTTGGCAGGTTCACATTAAAATGTAAATTGCACTAATCCTGCAAGCTGTGCAGGGATTGGCCTGGTGAGGGGGCTGCTGCCTAACTTAACCATCTCCCTCCTCCTGTCTCTCCCAGAGAATGCCTTGCGGAGCTTGCTGGAAGCTCTCACCAGCCCACCTTACGCCCCGACTCAGCACCTGGAGAGGGAACAGGCTCTCGCCAAACAGTTTGCAGAAATCTTACACTTCACCCTCAGTTTTGACGAGCTCAAGGTACGTGTGGGAGGAGGCAGCCGCCAACAGTGGTTGGTCCAGTGGCAGCAGGGAATGTGATCTGAGCATAATAAAAAGTAAAAAAACTCCCACAGGGGCTTCTGACTCTTGCTCCTGTGGAACAATATTAGGCACTTTGCACAGCACCCACTCTGGATGGTTGGCACAGGTGCAGGTGTAGCCTGCAAAACACACACACACACACACACACACCATCACCATCCTTTTCCCTTCCATATGTGGAGAAAAGCCTTCTGCTTCATCTTCTGCATCACCCCTGACTGAAGTCTCCCTTCTCTGTCTCCCAGATGACCAACCCTGCCATCCAGAATGATTTTAGCTACTATAGAAGAACTATCAGTCGAAACAGGATCAACAACCTGCAGGTAAGGAACCGTTCCTTTCTTTCCCTTGGAGGCAGAGTAAAAACCCAGGCTGGGCAAAATGAATGGAAATTCTAATGGCAAAGGAATGGTGGGAACTCGAAGCTTCCATGCAAGTGGAAATGTGCAGAGATGCCAGAGCAAACAGAGTATGTTCACTTGAGAGCCAGGGCTCATCCGCACTTTCTCTTGACCCATATTTTAATTGCCTTGTGTACTGATTAAATTACCCCAGGTCCAAGAGCTTTTCTTGTTCTTCCATGGCTGTACCTTGCAAAAACCCAAACTTACCTGCTGAACTGAAGCTCAATTAAGCAAAATCACTCTTTGGATTTTCTGCATATCCGATTCAGCAGACAAGATCGGATTTTTGCAAGACACAGTGAGAAAAGCTCTCGGATCTGGGGAAATTAATTAGCACACAACACAATCAAATTAGGGGTCAAGCAAAAGTGTGGATGAGCTCTGTCAAGAAAAAGAATAATGGAAAGCCAAGTGGGAGGGGGAATGGAACGGAATGACTGGAAAAGGAGAGAGACATAGATATAAAAAGAGTAAAATGAACTATCTCGTCTGGATAGGTGGTTTCCTGCTTCACACTGAGAAGTTATTTTTAAATGTTCCCAGGGATGGAAATGAGAGCTGTCCATAGAAATAAACATAGAAATTCAACATTTTAAGGTAGCTGGGGTTGGGCAACATGGTGCCCACCCTCTACCACCACCAGCGCGCGCGCACACACACACACACACACACACACACACAAGTAACAACAGAAACAACCTAGTAAGGACTAAGCATGCCCAGTGGGCATGGAATGTTGGCTGATTTTGGTGGGAAGGCGATGAAAAACTGATGGAGTAGAGTGGCTGGGACCTTAAACAGAAGCCCTCCATGCCGCAACGTTTTGCTGCACCTGATCTCCATTCCTGCCCTGCAGTTAGACGCTGAGAGTGAGGTGAACAACGAAATGGCCAACCGGATGTCCCTCTTCTACGCAGAGGCCACCCCGATGCTGAAGACTCTCAGCAATGCCACGACCAAATTTGTTTCAGAGGTAAGTGATGCCTTCCAAGGCGCAGAGAAGACAGAGGCAAGAGTTGCCAAGACCACCTTAAAGTGACAGCCTGTTGCAAAGTCCAGGCTTGCTTGGTTGTTCATGCAAGGTTAACGCTGCACACTGGCTGGTGGGTTGATGGGCAGAATCCACCCCAAGGAATCTGTGCTGTGGTGGCACAGGGACTGGGGCTGCCTCTCTCCCTTCAGATATTCAGCTTGCTCTCTCCCTGGGGAGGAAGAGCAGGGGGTAATCAGCATGCAAACTGGGTCTCCTTTCAGAACAAAACTCTTCCCATTGAGGACACGACTGACTGTTTGAGCACCATGGCCTGTGTCTGCCGGGTGATGCTGGAAACACCGTGAGTACAATGCCCTACATGATTATAGGCCCCAAAGGCTGAGCAAAGTGGCCTTCAGGGTTGCACACATACAGCAGAGTCTAAAAAGCCACACAATTGACAATTGCAATTAAAACCCGACTAAACTGAGACCCCATGTTAAAAATATGGGGTTACTCAGAAACTACAATTAATCCAGAATGTGGCTGCTAGACTGGTGACTGGGAGTGGCCGCCGGGACCACATTTATTATTATCATTATTATCAAATGAATGTGCAAAAATGTAAACAAAGAGTCACCAAGGGCCACCGTACAATGGGATTGGTCAGCCTTCTACATGCCGCAAAGCAACTTACCTGGTGAGCCTCTCTAGGGAGGGAATTCCACATCAGAGGGGCAAACACTGCAAAGGCCCTGTTCCTGGTCACCAGCATTTTGATCTGTGGACCAGGCATCTGTAGCAAGCCCCCACCCACTAGATGACTTTAAGGGACCCATACCGGAAATCACATCTTTTTAGAGTCTTTAGACTGTGTTTAGCAGTTCCATGCTATGAGCTCCCCAGGAAAGCTGGGAAGGAAATGTGGGGCATGGCAGCTGGTCCAAGGAGGCTTGTTCATGAACCTCTTTCTTGTTTGCAACAGGGAATACCGGAGCCGCTTCACCAACACCGAAACTCTCCTTTTCTGCATGCGGGTGATGGTGGGGGTCATCATTCTTTATGACCATGTCCATCCTGTGGGGGCTTTCGCCAAGACCTCCAAAATTGACGTGAGTGACATTTCTCTCTTCATATAGAAACATCAATCAGAGAAACCCAAGGAGCTGACAAGCCAGCCTTTGATGACCTTGACCTTCTTGATGTTTTGGACTACAGCTCAGCAGCCTCAGAATAATATAGCCTCAACGACTGGGGCTGATGGGTGTTGTAGTGCAAAACACCTGGCGGGCACCAGGTAGGGGAAGGCTGGAGCCTCCAGTGTTTTTAGTGACAATTGATCCTCAATTAGCTTTTAAAGGGAAGGAGGAGCAAAGATCCATAGGAGCAACCAAGCATCAGAAGAGCCACGCTGGGTGGGACTTTCCATTCCAGTCTAAATGCGGGGTTTTCACCCTCTCTTGCTGCACCTCCCATATCCACATGTTCTGGAAGACCCTATTTTGCCTTTCTCAAATCTCGTGAATCTGCTCACAGACAAAGGGACTGTTGTCAGTATAAGTGGGTGCACTTTTCCAACATTTTCCCCCTTTGAAATTTGACTAACAAGGTTTTTTTTCCCCCTTTTTTAATGCCGGTAGATGAAAGGATGTATCAAGGTCTTGAAAGACCAGCCTTCCAACAGCACAGAAGGCCTTCTGAATGCACTGAGGTAAGGCAGCCCAAGAGGCACCTTTGTGGAAATGGCCTTTGACAGCCAGAAAGGGTCTGCTGCAACTCTCAGAAAAGAACTGCAAGCACGTGCGCGCACACACACACACCTTGCACAAGCACCAGGATTGCACTGGGATGACTTTGACAGCCTAGGCAGGTGCTGGAGTTGAAGATAGATAGCATGGAAGAATTTTCAGAAACTGAAATTGGTTTTGTAGACATGAGCAGTTCTTATTGAAGGAGTGCTGTGGCAGGAACTGGAGAAGTTGACTATTACTAAATGACCATTGACTTGGCTTCACAGAAGGAACTCCCTCGTGCATTGCCCTCACATCACAATTATCCTGTGGGGCAGACCATTATTCCCATTTTACAGCTGGGGAGTTGAGGCCAGCAGCCCTTCCAGTGTTCATCGCACAGGAAGGGCTGGCCTGAATCCTGGATTCCAAACTAGCTCATGCCCACCAGCTTTGGTATCAAGGGAGCTGCAGTTTCTCAGCACTCAGACCACTGTATGCTGTTCAGGGACACTGCATCTTCCCTGTCCCAAACAACTGGCACTTTAATTGCTTTGGCCAGCATCACAGAAACCTACCTTTTAGGTCCATCCAGATGTTGCTAGACTACAGCTACCATCATCCCTGACTATTGGCTATGTTGGCTGGGCCTGATGGGAGTTGATGTCCAACAGCACCTGGAGGTTAAGCTATTGGCTACACCTGGGCATTCAGGTTCCTACCCTCTAGTCACCGGCAAACCCCCCTATATCCACTCTTCCTTTCTGCCAAACTAGTCCCTACTAGGAAATCCCACATTTTTACCTTTGGTCAAGGGCTTAGATGTGCATTGCACCTGTTCCCACAGCGGCCAGAACAATTGGCTTCTTTTCTCTACAACTGGTGTGCCCTTTCCCACTGCCTCCCTGCTTCTTCCTAGGTACACCACCCGGCACCTCAATGATGACACCACATCCAAGCAGATCCGGGCCTTGCTGCAATGAGCACCCCCTGCAGTCGAGGGGTGGGTGGCATTCACCAGAGACCCAGAAGGGGATTTCTCCATGGAACCTTCAGCAGAAATTTTAATGTTGACATATTGCTATAAATAACCATTGGCCATCATATTCGTCATTTTGTAAAAGAAGAAGAAGAAGAAGAAGAAGAAGAAGAAGAAGAAGAAGAAGAAGAAGAAGAAGAAGAAGAAGAAAGAAGGGGGGAGATTTTAAATAAATATATATATATATATAAACAAATAAATATATATATATATATGCACACACACACATACATTCACACACACATATATATAAAGTTATGAGAGATAATCCTTCCAGCTCAGTGCCAATCTGCCCCATCTCCCAAGACACTCTATGTTCAACTCTGGCAGAAGTGCAGCTTTGCCAGAGAAGCGCCATGTTGCCAAGGCCGCCCCTCTTCACCGTTCCAGTCCCAGTCCCACCCATGTTGATGTGACATGTCTAGTTCTCAGCCCTGAAAGGCTGACATCGAGTCTGACCAAGCTTCAGGAGGGACAAAGGGGGCAGGGTTTGGCCCAAGCTGGAAAGAGCCACCATCTTGGAACCAGGTGGAAGGTCTGTTCCTAAACTCTTGAGAGGTCCAGAGATGGATCTCCTGAACTAGCCCAGACTCCAGAGGAGGGTGGGGGGCTAAGTGAGAAAGATGGAGAGATGTTCTCCTGTTTAAGATGTAAATAATGTGTCTGGAAAATGACTGTTGATCAGGAATGACTAGGATGATTGATGCAGGATGATGATGATGGTGGACATCATCATTAAAATCTTCAACACTGATTCCATTCAAAATGGCTCAGTCACACCTTTTAGATTTTTAATATAAACAATTAAAATCCACTCACCTGTTATTTTGTACATTTTTGTGTCAAATAAAATAAAAAGAAAAAAAATAATCTGTTGTGTGAGAGACTTGGCTGGTTGTCTGTTTTGCTATGTTGGCAAAATGCACATGCTCAGAGGGGTCCCTTTTTATTATTATTTCATGTTCCAAACAAGGCTTGGGCAAAGGTGATCAAAAGTGAGATTTGTGTCCATGTGTGCACAAACACATTATTCAGACATGTTTGTCAGGAGTAGGGAGTAATCTAGGTGGATAGGGAGAAGAAAGTGACAAGATGTAAAGTGGTTGTGTAATCTGACCCACAGATCTGAGCACAAAAGCCACATTCTTTCCTTTATCCAAAATAATAGCACAACAGAAAAAAGGGTTCACATCAATATATTATACATAATCAAAATATTGTCAGTACTTAAATCGAGCCTTAATAGCTCAAGTAGCTGGGCAATGTATGGGCATACCCACACACCTGAATAAGATTTAAAATGTAGGTGTGTTTCGATATTATCTTCACCATCTGCTATTACAAATCAGGAAACTCATCCTTCAGAGTTTTCAGAGCACGGTCCACATTTCCTTAATTTCTGACTCTTGATTAAAAAACAAAACAGTATTTGTTGACTAGTGGGTTTAGCATCTCAAGGCCATTCACCTCTTTCAATGCCCATCATGGTCTATGAATGGCTTTAAAGACCTCTTTTCACCCACTGATAAATAACAAGATTGTGCTCGCCAGATGTTCTGCTGTGCTGGCTGGGACCAACAGGGGTTGTAGTTTGAAGCATGTGGAAGGTACCTGGTTGGGGGAGGCTACATGAGACTACTGGACTATGAATAAAAAAGTACAGTAACTTATTTGTTGTTTTAAGCTAGAGCCAGGTACCTTGAGGGAGGGGAAACTCTGGATTTCCAAATGCTTCCTCTGGATACAAAACACACAGCCACATTGTTCCACTGACACTTGATTTATGTCAATAAAGAGTGACAATATTTTGGTAATACTGGTTGATGCTAACCTTTCTTCTGGCTAAAGCTCAATCACACTGAATCCGATCAAAATCAACTGGGCTTCATTAGCCACAGCCACTAACTGACATCCCATTGTTATCCAGGGCACAAGGGCAACACGCTTCCCCTGCCTTGAAGTCTATTTATTTATTTATTGAAAAGTTTCTATACTGCTTTCATTTACAGAAAGAAATGCCAAAGTAATTGACACAATAACAAAGCAACAAAGGGGAGTCAACTAACTTTTATTCAGAGCAGACCCGGTGAAATCAACGGGTCCAAGTTATGCATGGCCATTCATTTGAATGGGACTACTCTGAGTAAAACTTAGTAGAATGCAACTCAATGGCTGATAAACAATAATCGCCACAATGCCTGGTATTAACAATACGAAGGGTCAGGGAACACCTGGGTGAACAAGTATGTATGTCTCCAATGGATGGGGGAAACACCTTGCAGGTGGTGCCAGCCTGATCTCAACAGGGAGAGCCTTTTGCATGAGAGGTGCCACAGTGAAGAAGGCTCTCCTTCACACCCCCACAGATAGGACTCCATAGGTCATGCTATGGTCAAAATGGCCCCAGCAGCAGAACCCGGTGGGGCCTGAGCCATCTATATGTCAGAAGATGGACCCTCACACCCATCAGGTTGTGGTGGTTAAACTCAACACTGTGGTGTAGTAGAGGCAGCCCCACCAACCTCAGCTTGCCTTCAGCCAGCCCATACCTGCCTGCCTTCTTGCTTACAACTAGTCCAGGGGGTGCTCCTGCCTGGCAGTTTCCTCCTTCTCCTTCATCTCAGTGCTGCCCTTGTAGAACATGGCTGGGAGGAGGATGGGGACAAAACTGGCATGAGTTGGCTCTACTTGTTATTGGCTCTGGCGCCACCTGTTGGGATCTCTGCCTTCTGTTCTACCAGTCACAATGGGCACCAGCCGCCATGCTGGTTTGTGGCTTATGGCTACAAGCACTGTTTTGCTCAATCAGCCCAGCTGCCTGTCTTGCCTCCCTTGGCAGGTAGGGGGCACTTGGGTACCACAAACAGCTGGTTAATTGCCTTGACTGTGGCACTCTCTTGCCCAAACTGGAGCTGTGCTCTAGGCCTGCACAAACATGTGTATTGTACCCATATATTCTTGGTGCAAACCTGGGTTTCATGTCATGTGTGAAAAAGACCTTAGACCACTTTTACAAACAAGCCCAGCTTTCCCCAACCTGGTGCCCTCCAGCTGTTTTGGACTACCAAACTGCCCTGAGATCTTTGGATGAAGGCCGGTATACCACCACCACCAACAACAACATCCTACACTAAAAATGTGGGATGGATCTCCAAAGTAAAATATTGCATTCTAATCAGTGCAACTGTTTGTTCATATTGTAGGCAGATCTAGAAACAAGTGAAAATGTGCCCTGCCCCCTCTCCAATCACACAGGCCCAGGAGAAAGACCCACCACTGTGTTGGACCATATGAAAGTTCAAGGACCACCCAATGAGGGATGTTCATCTTTCCCACATTTTCTACCTTTCCACGACAATTTCTTTGCTGAGGGGCCTCTGTCCATTGCAAAGGATTCTGGGACATGACCACCCATAGTATGCATTTGAGTCATGCTCAGCTCCATGCTGCTGCCTTGAGCCAACTGACAGATTACCCCCACCCAAGGCCCCCCTTGTGGTTGTGCAGTGCAGGGGATGAGAGCTGACGCTCCAAAAGTTTTGCCTGCCATAACTGAGCTTCTCTGGGGTACCACAGTACATATTTGGAAAATCCCTGATCTAAGCTTATCAGTGGCACTCGCAGACATCTTCCCGGGCATGAGCAGGATGTGGGAGAAGGGTTTCCAGGGAACAAGGCCTTGGTTTCCAGTGATCCCAGAGCCCTGAGCACCTCTCCCCTGAGAAGCTAAGTAAGATACTCCCCTAAGTGTACACACTCCACTGTGTACAACGGCAAACTTTTCCAGGCAGCCAGCCCAAAGCGCTGCCTCCTGGTCTCAGGTGGCTTGCTCTCCTAACCGCCACTCTCCCGCTCCGCTTCAAAGAAGGGCAAAAGTCCAAATTCCGAGAGGTTGCATTTATCATGCATGCAAAGCAAATACAGTGGGTGAGTTTTGCCGCCAAACCTCCAAGGCTTTCCCGCCAGGGAGCTGCTCTCTTGAATCTTTGTCGTTGGTTTGACACAACAAGCACCTCGGCTTGGAACTGCCCCAAACCAAAGCCACCAACATCTCTGGGGGCATCTTTATGCAAGTCTGAACCAGAGTTTGGGCTTAGCCCCAGAACCTATTTTTAATTAAAAGTCTCTGTCTTAAAACATCCCAGGAGGGCAAGAACATCAATATTTATTTTTCTAAAGCACTTGAGCCCGGTCTCGCCAGGTTTTGGCTCCAGATCCTACCTTGAGTGCTTAGGTTTAACCTGTGAACTTGGTGTTGGAGAACTGGGACTACAAAACCATCCAATCCTCCTCAAAAGACAGACCCACTTGCACTTTCCCCTTCCCTCCAGTACAATTTGTATAGCTAATAAGGAAAAGGATGACCCTGGGCCTCTGCAGACTGCCTTTCCCTCAACTCAGACCAAACTGCAGATTCCCGGGATTAAGGGACGGTATTGCCAAGCAGACCACCCGAAAGTTTCCAGCTGCAGAGGGCAGGACTGCAAGGCAATGGTGGCTCGTGCCTGTTGGGCCTGGTAGGGCAGAAAGCAGGGAGCCCAACAGTAGGTTGCTCCAGGACCAATGACAGGCAGAGCCAACTTATCCCAGCTTTCCCTCCACCCTGCTGAGTTAGAATCATAGAATCATAGAATCATAGAGTTGGAAGAGACCACAAGGGCCATCGAGTCCAACCCCCTGCCAAGCAGGAAACACCATCAGAGCACTCCTGACATATGGTTGTCAAGCCTCTGCTTAAAGACCTCCAAAGAAGGAGACTCCACCACACTCCTTGGCAGCAAATTCCACTGTCGAACAGCTCTTACTGTCAGGAAGTTATGCCAGTTCTACAAGGACAGCAGTGAAATGGAGAAGGAAGCTGACAGGCCCAACCTCCCCATGGCCAGGTTGCAAGGCAAAAAGCAGGTAGGCAGGGGCTGGCTGAGGGCAGGTTGAAGTAGGCGGGGCAGTGCCCCATTTGCCCAAGCAACAACTCAGAGCCCAAGAACAGTCCCTTTGGTGGCCTCGGATCACGAGCTCCTTCACTAGCACCCCAGGAGACCCTTGGGCTGCTGGGAGCAGACAGAAGGTCAGTTGGCAACAATTGGGAACTGGACCTGCCCCACTGGTGGAGGGGGTTAGGGCAGGCAGGGGGAGGGAGTGACGGCTGCAAGGGGGAAGCTTGCGTCAAATGGTAGGGAAAGCCATAGGAAACTGAAGACGGCTGGAAAAGCGTGGCAGGTGTGGGCCAGTGTGAGAGGAGGGAGAAGGGAGAGAGAGCTCTTTGTTGCAGGTGGTTTCTCCAACTGTTGAGCTGGGCCTGGAGCCAGCAGCCAGGGAGGGCAGGACATTCTCCATACAGGCACACAGGGAAGGGCCGTGGCTCAGGGGAGAGAGTATCTGTTTCGCATGCAGAAAGTCCCATGTTCAATCCCAAGTGGCACCTCCAGGCAGGGCTATAATGCTTTTGAATTTCCATTCTTGAATATCCTTTACCTGCTTAGAATCCTTACAGCAACCCTGAAAGGTAGGCTGGGAGAAAGGAGGAAATGAGAGATGTTGGCATCAGGCCACCTTGTGAGTTAATCACAGAAGTCAGATTCAAACCAGCAACTTCCTTGATAAGCAACTCAGACCCTCCCTCTGCAATAGCTCGTTTGTGCTGATATTCCTGATATTCCTCCCACCCACCTGACCCCCTCCCCGGAGCTGATGGGAGTTGTAGTCCAAAACAGCTAGGGCACTAGGTTGTAGAAAGCTGCTCTGCAGTCAGCCAGCTGGAATGTTTTGCTTTCAAACTTCTGGCTTGAGACAATGCACACAATTGCTCTTTATGCATCCAGGAGGGGCCTGTGTTTGCTTTGCACTCTGGAGTGCAGCGTTTGGGGAGAACAGCTGTGGGGAGGGGGGAGAGAAGGAGCACTAGATAGCACGTGAGCCATCGCTGCACAGCTGCAAAACTTTGCAACCTGTTTGCAGGGGCAACTCCTGCCATTGGAAGTTAATACTAAGCTCGCAGAATCAGCAAGATTTAAAAGTAGCCCTCCACTTAAAAACATTTTCGAAATGTCATTCTGAATTGTGCCAAATTTCTGTAAATGAGTAAAAAAAAATCAAAGTGTTCCTATTCTAGTGTCAACCCCTGTCCCTTATCTCTGAGAGGTTCCTATAGACCTGCCTTCTCCAAGCTGGTGCCCTCGAGATGCTTTGGACTACTAACACTCCCGACCGGTGAAGCCGGGGTTTGAAGACCATCAGTCTCTGCCTAACCTACCTCACAGGGTTGTGAGAGGCAAAAAAGGAGGAGAGAACCATGTGTGCCACTTGGAGCTCCTTGGAGAAAAGGTGGGACAGTAATGCAGTAAGAGAGAAAAGTAGTCCCCAAACACCAGGTTGGGACTTGGGGTGGCAGATCTATCCTTAGACCACTTCACTGGCCTCCTTCTCACAACCACTATCCACCTCTCCTTCCACAGTTTCAGAGCTTTTTGTTCTGCTTACCTAAATGTTCAGTCCAACCACCTATACACCATCCTGAGATTTAATCTGGGGACCTGTCTCAGGTACCTTTTGCCTCTTTCAACTTAGCAAACAACCCACACCTTTTAGACATGCTTCTGTATGCTGCTTTGATTGCACTTTTTTTTTGAGGAAAAGCAAGGCATGTCACAAAATAAACAAAGCCAACCCCCGACCCCATTACTTTTAATGCCACTACGCCTTCAAGCTACCTTGAAGTCACAGCTGCTGCTAGCCAGAGATCCCCATCTCTCTTTAATTCCCTTCTTCCGCATGCTAAAAGTGGCTACTTAGGGACGGCCACTCTGCACACACCCAGAGGCATTCTGCTTCCTTTTATGCCACATTTTTTAAAAATTCAAGGCTGGTTGTGCAGTTGAACTTTCAGACTGAAACCCCGCCCGCCCCAATTTGCAACAAGGGAGGCTGCGGTGAGGATGGCTGGGGGTCAGTGCATGTGTAAAACAGGGTTTGCATAAAAGATACAGACAGAGGGGAGGGACAGTGATGGTGGGCTTGCGCTGCCTTTTAATCCCACTGTAATTAATGACCTTATCTTTGGCCCAAGCCATTTAGCTAAAGTGGCTGGAGGAAAGAAGGGGGGGCGCACAGGGCGGCCAGATGGGAGGCTGGCATTTGTCTGCGGATTAGCTGTAGGCAGATGGAGCTAAGTGGCCTTCCTAGTCCCCACCCCCTCGCTACTCTCCCTCTCTCTCTTACACACACACACACACAGAGGGACTCCAAGTAATAACAGCCCCAAACCTGAGAAAGTACAACTGGTGATTGTGCCCATGGGAGTAAATGCCAGAGGGCTTTTTGATCCTTGCTGTTTCTTCTTCTGTAAGGGGCAGGAAAGGACATTACGGTACCTTTGTGAGCTCACTAGGCAGACCTACTGATTCTCCATGCAGCGTCTATCCCTAGTGGCATCTCCAGAAAGGGCTGGGAGAAATTCCCTGCCTGTCAGTCACAGTAGAAAACGCGGGGCTAGATGGGCCACAGGTGAAAGGAAGCTTCCTCTACTCCAAGACCTTTGGGTGCCTAAGGCAGGGAGCTCAAATGCTCCTGTTAACTCACAACGGGGACATTTACACAGTTCATGGCACTTCTCTCTTAAGGGCACCCCGAATCTGCCCCCTCTCTGGGCCAGGCCTTGCCTGGGCACAGAGTCAGCTCTGGTCTTTGGTCTGGGCACAAACAGGCTTCCTATTTCACACAGCTTTGTCCTGCTGCGGCACAGCTGCTTGCCTAAACTACTCTCACCAGGCCACTGTGCCAGCCTTGACACAGCACTGCTCTGCAAAGCAACGGGCTCCCTCCATCCCCACAGACCTACAACTCTCTCCCTCCCTCCCAGTCCCCAGGTGGAAGCCTCTTTGAAACAAAGCCTGCTCCCAAGAGGGCAGTTCTCCATTCTCGACCCCATTAAGCATTTCTCCAGCAGCCACAGGAAGGCCTAAACCTTTCAAAGCAGTGATCTCCAAAGTGGGCAGTACTGCCCCCTGGGTGGGGGATTCCCTGGGGGGGGCATTAAGAGGCAAAGGGGCGGCAGGGGGGTGCTGGAGGTGGGAATGACTATCAGAATTTGAAAAGCCAGTATCACTGGATCAAGTTCATTGCTTTTGTTGAATTAATTAAACCAAAGAGATTTAATTGGGTTTTGAATAAATGTGCAATTAACTGTTGCTGTTTTGAATTTTATTGTGTGATTATCTTCCTTAGTGGGTCGTGTAAACTGCTGCCCTGAATAATGCTTTTTATAGGGTAGGGGCGTAGGGAACGCGGGTGGCGCTGTGGTCTAAACCACTGAGCCTAGGGCTTGCCCATTGGAAGGTCAGCGGTTCGAATCCCCACAACGGGGTGAGCTCCCATTGCTCAGTCCCAGCTCCTGCCAACCTAGCAGTTCGAAAGCACGTCAAAGTGCAAGTAGATGAATAGGTACCGCTCCGGCGGGAAGGTAAACGGCGTTTCTGTGCACTGCTCTGGTTTTGCCAGAAGCGGGATAGTCATGCTGGCCACATGACCCAGAAAAACTGACTGTGGACAAACGTCGGCTCCCTCGGCCAGTAAAGCGAGATGAGCGCCACAACCCCAGAGTTGGATTTAATGGTTTGGGGTCCTTTACCTTTTATAGAGTAGGGGCAGGTTTTTTTCTCCAGCTGGAACTCACCAGAACTCAGTTCCGGCACCTCTCAGGTGGGCACCATTGCCAAATGGAACAAGAAAGGCATTCATGGTGAGTTCTGGCACCTCTTTTTCTAGAAAAATAGCACTGAATGGGAGGCACTAGGGATGGGTTTATGGACCACAGGGGCAGTGGCGCAAAAAAGTTTGGGAACCATGGTTTTAAAGTTAGAAAAACCCACACAGGAGGAATCCTATCACAGGCTAAGATTTATCTCCCTTTACAGCCAGAGGGTTTGGAGGAGAGGGCCAGAAGAAGAGGATGGCATTTTAAAGTTGCAGATACAGGTGGATCAAGCAATTCTCATCAGTCCATCCAGAACCCAGTCCAGATACTAGTCAAGTACAACAGGGTATTCAGATGTCAGGCCCAAACATGAAATACCCTCCAAAATCTGCACACACTTTGTGGGGGGAACATCATCAGCTGTGTAAGCTTCCAGCCATGGAAAAATCCTGAGTAGTACCAGGAAAACCCTTCAAAAAATCATCCCAAAAAAGCTCTGTTTATATGTTCAACTTGCATGAGGAGATGAACAGAGGAAGGTGATGGTCCCCTCCCCACCAAAAAAGTATTTTGTAGTTACTTAGGAAAGCTGTTCCCACATGCAATGCTACAAAAAGATACAACTAAATGAGAAATACACACTGACTACAGCTTGTAGCTATGCTTGTATTTGTTTCAGTTCATGGGGGCACATTCAAACCCTTTAAGTCAGCCTTTGCCAACCTGGTGTCCTCCAAATGTTGTTGGACTACAACTCCCATGAGCTGCAACCTGCATGGCCAATGGTCAAGGATGATGGGTGCTGGAGTCAAGCTACATCTGAAGGGAAAACAGGTTAGCAGCAACCCCCAAGTTACTGGGGAACCTTGCCTTATGGTGACATTTCCCTGTTAAAAACAGATGGAACAAAATCTAAGAAGGTGAAGCAGCTTAAAATGATTGGGGATGTTTTGCAGCAGACAGTTTCCTCGCATGTCTTCTTCCTCTATTCCCCAAGAGGATGCTCAGTGGATCTTTGCAGACACGCTGGTCCAATAATAAAAAGTCACTGTATTGGAATGTTTAAAAATATAGCCTTTATCTTTTTATATAAATAAAAAAATAGTCAGGAGGTAGAGCAGCACGCTGGCATTCATGCCTGGATCAACTCGATTATTTGCATCTCTGGAGAAAGGTGATTCAGCATTTTTTAGATGAGAGATCCTTGGTGAGGGTAGGATCCTGCCTCCCGGGCCAGCGTTCCCACCGACAACCTTCCTCCCAAAGATGGAGTCTACATTTCACAGGCTTCCACACTCCCGTCCTTCTCCTCCTCTCTCTCGTTCCCACCAGTCATGGCACTTTCTTCATGGCGCTTTGTGGAAAGGGGATCTGAGGTCAAGTGTCGCTGCTGCTGTTGCTGCTGCTTCTGGTGGAAACGGTGGCCTTTGGATTTTATGTGCTCTGCCAACACAGGTTAACAGGAGATCATTTTGGAAACAAAACCATGAACAGTGCTGCTTTTATATAAGATTGCAAAAATAAGAATACAATACTGTTTATTATAAACACACACTCATTCCGCACACTGAATGTGTTTTGTACCTTTCAGGGTGGAAACTACAGATAAATCGGTGTGGTCTGAGAGTCTCTTATCCAAATCCTCCAAGCAAAGTGCTAACCAGAAGTTCCATCCTATATTTCAATTCTATTCTAAATGTATGATTGTGTGGATATACTGGGCACTGTACAGTAAAGGTCAATCATGATTTTGGCCTGGTCTACACATCTGCCACAGGTAGGTCTGAGATAACAGAGGAATCCTGAGCTAACAGTCCCACTGCAGGAATCGTATTTTTGAATGCTCTCCAACCTAAAACACACACACACAAAAACACAAAACTCCTTGCAAGAAGGAAACTGACACAGGACAAAGAGGCCTGGGGTCCTAGTCTGTCTTTACTTGCAGGAAAGTTTTTTGTTTTTGTTTTAACATGGGGCAGCATTCAAGAATGGCATTCTCTACCTGAAGAGTTAGGTGATTCTTGAGAGAGTCACTTCAGACTGCAGAGGCCGCCTTTTTTTAAAAAAAAAATAATGTTCCAAATAATATTCCATCATGTAATAAGCATCTAGTAAAGACAAGGGGCCATTAAGGACAGCATTGCATACTCAATCTGGCAATCTGATACAGTAAATGCCAGGATTCCACCACTTCCACCTACTGCCTCAGGCAGGCATAGGCAAACTCAGCCCTCCAGATGCTTTGAGACTACAGTTCCCATCATTCCTGACCACTGGTCTTGTTAACTAGGGATGATGGGAGTTGTAGTCCCAAAACATCTGGAGGGCCGAGTTTGCCTATGCCTGGCCTCAGGGTTTATCAGCTCTAGGCTGGCCTATTAAGAGGCATGGAAATAAGGTACTAGACTCCTGGGCTGGTAGAGAGAATTGTAAAACAGCAGGTGGGGAGGACATTTCCAGATAGTTTTCACTTTTGGAAATGATCCCTGCAAATAAAGGTAGAAATGTTCTAACACAGCCAGTTCTCATCTCATGAGCCAGTTTTCTTCTTGTAGGGAGGCATGTGTGTATATACATATATTTAAATCTTTCTAAAAAGAGGGTTCTTTAAGAGAACCATGATTTGAAGTGATAGATGCCATCATATCACTACCAAGACAGTTGGATGCATGTGAAGACCACAACAGACTCCCATTTAAAAATAAATCTTTCAGACGTTACCTGCAAAACAAGCCTTTGGCTTATTTGTTTCGGCTGCACTAAAAAAAAACCTTTCAACTCTTCCCGCTGCATTCATAAAGGACTGAATTACAGACAGCCTTCCAGATGTTTTAGACTACCACTCCCATCAGCCCCATTATCACATAGCCCCGCTGGCTGAGGCTGATGGGAGTCGTCGTCCAAAACGCCTGGAGAAGGCCAAGCTCAGACAAGAAAATCCAAGCGCCTCCCTTTCACCTTCAACGGCCAGCTTCCTGCTGTTCTCAGCAGGTGGAAGTAGCTTCTCCCTGAAGAAATGCTAATTTCTCTCCCCACACCCCACATTTAATACAGAAGCAGATCACTCCTGCCTTGCATGCAATTGCTGGGTTCAAGAACCCTTTGCCCAAGGAGGCAACTGCTTTTACAGCTACAGTAGTGGAAAGTTTGGGGGGCGAGGGGGAGATGGGAGAGGAGGATAAAATGACAGATGGCGGCTCCTGGAAGGGTTTATGATTCTCCCCACCCCCTTGTAAATTGGCTCCTTTTATAAGAATGCTGTAAACAGCCCTCCAGGAGCTGATCACTCTGGCAGGCAGGAAGAGGTTGAGGAAATTTGGGGGGCAGGGGGCGGGGAGCAGGGCTTTGTTCCAGGGAACTGGGAGAGCTTTGTTCCTTTTGCTCCCTCCCCATTCCCACCCCATCCCCCAGCCACGATTTCCACCTCCCCCCACCCAAAACCTCCTGCAAGCACAATCCTTTACCTTTCCACTCTCTGTCCCCGATGATGACTCTGCTGCACAGCTCACACATGTGCCGCCTCCGCTTGCCCTCCTGGGCTTCCCCTGCCTCGTCTGCCATCGTGATGGGCTCGGCCGGTGGCTGCCGCCCCTTGCGAGGAAATGACATTTTGGACCATTGGTTGCCAGCTGTCCCCTCGGACTCATCCCCAGCTGACCCCTACCCTGCCCTTTAAAAAGCATTGCTCAGAATAGCGGTTTGTACGTCCCACTAAGGAAGGAAACCACACCGTAAAATACAAAACAGGAACCATTTAATGGTGCATTTGTTCAAAACCGAATCAAAAGCATTTAGTTTAATTAATTTAACAGAATTAATGGACTTGTCCCGTGATACTAGCTTTTCAAAGCCTAATAGTCATTTACACCCCTTGCCTCTTAGCACCCCGTCTAGGGAATCCCACAACCCCCCAGGAGGTGGTGCCATCTACTTTGGGAACCACTGGCTTAGAAGAATGGTCCAGAAAAAGAAGAGGGTGACAGAGGGGCTGCCCCTCCATTCCTTAAAAGGCAAGCGGGCCCCTGGCCTCAGAACTTAAGCAAGCCAGGCCTCTTCTCACCCTGTGAAGCTTCCCCACAACTCAGTCCCAGATACAGGAAGAGATGGTCAATGGCACTCATTACATGTGAACTAAACTGGACTCTGCAGGGCTCAAGAGGCCTCACTCTCTTCTTTAGCAAAATGCCAGGCTGGATATGTGTGGAGAGAGAGCGAGAGAGGAACCCCTGAAGGAACTCAAGATGCCACAGGTTTCTTTTGCCAACCTGGTGCCTTCCAGATGTTTCAGACTACAACTTCCAGCGCTGTCTGGGGCTGATGAAAGCTGCAGTGGAAAACATCCCGAGGGCACCAGCTTGGTGAAGGCTACATTGCACACATGCCCTGTGGAGTCCCTGTGGGTAACCCAGGGCCAAGAGGTGATGCCTGCCCCTGGTAATCCTATCTTTTGCCTGTAGCCTGTTTATTTTCCCCACAGAACAGAATGGATCCAGAAGCTGGCTGCTCTCTGCACTGCCTCCCTGCAGCCCCAGCCTGAATGGTATTCCTTGGTCACATTAAGGTGTGACAACCCCTGGACAACTGCTTTCAATTTATTTGCAAATTTATGTACCCTCATATAAAATGGGCAAATGCATGTTTCAAGTCACATAATAAACTGCCTTATGCAGAGTCAGACCATTGGTCAACCAGCTCAAAATTGTCTAGACTGGCAGTCACTCTTGAGGATTTCAGACAGGGGTCTCTAGAAGTGCCACTAGGTATTGAACCCAGCACCCGGGACCTTGTGCGAGACATGCTGTTGAACTGAATGGAAACAGTAGCCAGAGTGCTACCAAAGTCAGCATAAAGTGGAAGTGGACGATTGCCACAGTCACAAAAGAGGAAACTTCTTGAAAATGAGAGAACTGGTAAAAAGGAAGTTGAAACGGAAGGTCAAAAAGGTCAAATCTCTGCAGAACACTTGGGGGTGATTAAAAAAAATACAATCAGAGCTCATCTAGGATGCATCTGTGAGCTGCAGGTTCTCAGCCTGGAAAAGTCCATACTGTAGAGGTGAAGGAGGAAGCCAGACAGAATGTCAGCAGCTAGTTATTTTCTTTCTTTGCTTAGCAGAAATAAGGTTTTCAGCAGCAGCAAGGGGACATTTGGAAGGGAGAGCACTTGGGTCTGTCCACATCAGCACATGCAGCCCCCTGCATGGACAGAATGAAAAACACCTCAGCAAAGGCTCCTGAGAAAACTTAGCAGTTTGCATGAGGTAAGAGGACAGGCCCTTTACTAGATCTGTCCATGGTTAAAACATAGGCAGCAGAGAATAAGAATAAATGGGCAGTTCTCAAAGATGTAGGAGAGGTGAGGTCCTTCCAAGGGGGCTTGGGCTCTTTCATTTCTTCATTAATGATCTATAGAGTTAGGGGTGAGCTGTGAGGTAGCCAAGTCTGTGGATGACACCAAATGATTCAGGAGGCAAAAAAACAGATTGCAAAGAATTCCCAAAGGCTCTCTCCAAACTGGGCATTGAAATGGCAGCTGCAGTTCACTGTAACTCAGAATTGTAGATTTGCAAGGCACCCAACAGGTCATCTAGCCCGACCCCCTGCCATGTAAACTGATCCATAATCATGAGATGAGGCACTTCTGGCTGCCTTGAGGCTTCTGTGGGTTCCTGCAGGTCCTCCTCAGCTGCATGGAGGTTCTCCACAGAGCTCCAAGCCCCACTCTTAAGAGACGGCTTCCCCAGAGTTTGGGTCAGGCAAGGTCCTGCAAAAAGGCATCTCTCTCGTCCTCTGGCCTTAAAGTGCAACTGCCAGTCAGAGCAGACAAGACTAGGCTACAGAAACCAGGGAGCTGACTCAGCATAAAGGTGGCTTCCACTTTCCTAGCATTGAGTCTCTGTTGATTTGAAAAAGGGTCCTCCACTTTTTTATATGCTGTTTCTAGCTCCCCTGCCTAGCAGGTACCTGGACAAAGCTCTCCACGATCTGCACGGCAGGTTCCAGCACTTTCTCCTCCCACTGAGAGAGATCCGAGACTTCCAAGCCATAAACAGGGGGCACGTTTGGGCCGGGCCCTAGAGAGACCAAGGTAAGAAATCGGGGGGTGGGGTGGAGGGAAGGCAGCAGTGAGGGTCAGCAGCCTGCCCACCCCAATTGCCAGTTTGGCAGAGGTCCATTTGCTCCCACCCTGCCTGGCATAAAAGCAGAAGGCTGAGCAACAGAGAGGACAACTTCACATTATTCCTTTAAGGGACCTTCATAAGCTCAAGGAAAGGAGAATGGTCAAGCATCTTTTGGAAGGGGGGAAACCACCACATGGGTACCAAGGGCCCCACCCACCACTGAAGTCTGGCCCTTGGAATGTTGCCCAGAAAAGAAAAGGATCCCCCAGCACCCCAATTTAAAGAAAGGTGCAAACCATTGTGCCTTCTTCCATGAGATCTAGAAACGTGTTCTTTTCAAAACAACTTCTGCTGTAGGCATTCCAAATCCTGCATCAAATTTGTACCATGGGGCCTGCAGTCTCAAATCCCCGCCTGAGAAATCCAGGGGTGTGGCAGCCCACCCCGCTCCCCACTTCCTACCTCCATCTCCTGCAGGTTGCCTCCAGCCAAAAACTCCTCCTGGTTTCCCCCCTCCAGCTCCTGCCCTTCTGAGGTCCAACTGCCAGCTGGCTGGGCAAGCTCAGTGGCACCAGATGAGACAAAAGGCTTCCCTAGTGCCAAAACCTAAGCACGTGATGCCTCTTAATGCCCTGACCACAAAAACCACCAGCCCAGGGAGCACCTGTCGGCTTTTTGGCTGGAGAGGGAGCGCGGGCAGCGCTGCACCTGTGCCGGTAAAAGACTGGGCCATCGACCCAAAGCCTCTTCTTGTTCCTCCTCCCTTCTTGGGTTTCTTGAGGGCTCCTCCCCACCCCTGCCCCCCTCACCCTGCCTCGCAAACCTCCCAAGGACCTTTCAACAAGTGCTCGGCTCCCAGCTGTCAATCTTGGCTCTCCTCCAAGCCTGGAGCAAAGGGAGGGAAGTCCGGTTGGCTCCCAGCCAGAGGAGGCTGTGCAGCTAGCCAGGACGGAGCCAATCGGATCGGGAAGGGCAGCTGTCTCTCCCCCTGCCCCCCCCCCGTATTTCACTCCAGGATGATTCAATGGCAGGGGGACACAGTGTGTGTGTGGGGGGGGGTGTCTGCATAGGATCCCAACACATTTCTCTCTCTCTGCCTGGCCGGTGACTGACAGGGAACAAGTTGCTTACTCTGCTTACAATTCACAGACCTAGGTATGGCCTTAGGCCCAGCCTGCATAGGGAGAGACAGGGAAGTGGATCAGATCAAAGGCAGGGCTGGAACTAGAAAGGAAAGCCACACCCTCTTGAGTAGGTTGTGGGTGAGGGCTACGTCACTTTAAGGAGAAGGCACTCTGCACATGCTCAAAGGAACAGAAGATTTTCACAAAACTGAGCACTGGCAGTTTTTGAGGTGAGGGCAGTGGAATCTGGGTGAGCATTGGCCCCAATGAAGAGCCAAGGGAAGAGGGGGAAATGCAAAGACTTCAAGGAGGCAGAAATAGGAAATAGAGGGTGGGGAGGACAGCCGGCAGAGAGCAAAACGGCGGGAGAGAATGGAGGCAGGAAAGAAGGACTTACGTCTCAGGAAGCGGTTCCGGACCCATTTGTTCTGCTTCCGGGCGTACCTTTTGGTCACTATCTTCAGGGCCTGGATTCCTAAAATCATAAACAGAGGAGAGGTCACAGAGGGCAAGGACCCTGGGCAGGGAGCAAGCCTGGGAAAGGGGACGTGCTCACATACTGCAAGAACTGATGCCCCAAGGGGGCAAAGGACAGATCCTTCTTAGCAAGACTGGGGAGGAGAAAACACCAAAAGAACCACCCTCTCGCAAAGAGTCTAGAACTGCAAAGCAGCGTTTACACTGCAAATTCAAACCAGCTTCACACCAGCCCAGCTGCCAGTGACTTCCCTCAAAGAATCTTGCCCATGCGATACAGCTGCTGGGAATTCTTTTCTAGAAGTCCAATTATTCTTCTCTGATTTTTTCTCAGTGATAGCTACACTGACCTAGATGGGCCAAGGGTCTGACCTGGTATAAAACAGTTCCCTACAGATGCAAAGTAGGGTTTTCAAAAGCAGAGGAACGTTTCTTCCATCCGCAATACATAAATCCAAAATGTATGGCCGTGAAACTCAAAACTCCCTGGCCAAATGTTGAAAAACATTGCCCATCCCTTCCCTGCAGCAAGAGCAGCCCCTTTCCTGCCAGCCCGGTCCCCACCTTGGTTCAGGAGCTGCTGGCTCATCTCATCTGAGCACTTGCCCTCTGCAATCAGGAACTGGTGGAATTCCTTGAAGCCGATGGACTGGAAAATGCCGTGCTGATAATCCTGGCTGAGGCAGAGGAAGGGGGGAAAGCAGGCAGGTCAGCCTGTTCTCCAACTGCAAAACACCACAAGCCCCTCTGTGCACTGGGGGCTGAGATCCAGGCTGGCCAGTCCGTCAGGGGACAGGCACACCCGTTGCAGCCATTATGAGCCATGCACAGGGTGCATTTCATATCAAGTCTCAGCACTTCAGAAGAAGAAAACCGCTGCATGGGTGCTTGGTGCTCTCTGCCACTCCCTCCCCCCCCCCCGACATCCTGCAACCACACAGAGTCCCAGCCTCTGACCTCTATCCCCATCCTGGGTGGATGAATGCCAGGACAGGAAGTGGCAAGGCGGGCTGGGGTGGGGGGGAGATGGGAAGAAACTCACCTGTTCTCATCTACCCTCTCCTGGTTATATCGCTGGTGGAAGTTCCGCAGCTCTCCCAGCAGCCCAGCCTCCAGCATCGCATCCACCCGCTGGTCCAGCCGTTCTTCTAGAACTGATGAGCACCCAGAAGGTTAAGGATGCAGCCGCGCAAAGGCACGCCCCACCCCATGGAACAGGTTGGGAAATATCGCTCTGGATGCCACAGGCAAAATCAGGTCACACATGGCACCAGGCCACATCATCCACCTGATCTCAGAGGGTGAGAAGGAAGCAGCATTGCTATTTCCTCCTTTTGTTCTCTGGAATAATCTGGTTGGTTTGGAATTTACTGGGGGCTGGGGAAGTGGCCCACCTCTCCAACCCCTGAAATGGACCAGGTGATTTTTTAAAAAAGCATACTATGCAAAAGCCAGGAATATTCACATTTTGCATGCAGATTAAGCGGGCCTTGTGAAAGGATCAGAAAAGCAACATTTTCACCACTGCCCAGGGGGTGGAGGACAGGTGTAGGCAAAGAAGGAAGAAATACTCAGTCAAAGGGCTGTGGCCTTTAGTCCCTCCCTCTTTTTTACCTGCCTGCTCTGCATGTAGCCAGAGGATGCAAGGGTTGGGGTACTTCAGGGGGCCGCTCAGCGGCCCTCCCCCTTCTTCCTGCTGCTGCTGCTGCAGTAGCTCGCTGTGGGGGATGCCCGTTTTTTCAAACACTTGCAAACTCCTGCAGGCGAGAAAGAGAGGCAGGCAGGTTGAGTGGGCAGAAGAGCATTTGGCCTCCCTCCCTCAAGCTTCATGCCCGGTGGGGGACAGGCATGGCTGCCTTAGACAGGACCGTCATGAGGCAGAGATCCCCCCCCATCCCTCTGGCACAAGCGAGATGCTTTTGAACGTGCAAAAATCTATCTTTAGAGCATTCCTTTCCTGTTGGCCACTGCCAATCTTGACAATTGCTAGGACAAACCAGGTCTGGAGAAACCTGCAGGCCTTTGCGGTTTGTGGGACTCCAACTCCCATCAGCCCCAGCCAGCATGGCCAATGAACAGGGATGATGGGAACTGCAGGCAGCAACAGCCGGGGGGGGGACAAATTCTCCACCTGCTGGCTTAATGTGGGAGCCCAGGGGGGAACCCTGAGGCCCTTGCAGATGTTGCTGGCATGCAGTTTCCATCTGCTCTGACCAGCGACCATGCTAGCCAGGGATGACAGGAGCTGAAGTCCAGCCACATCTGGAGGGCATCAAGTGCTCAACCGCTGGGAAGAAGGAAGCTAGCTGAGCAGGCCACTGTGAGCCCCAGGAATCCACAAGGCACCTAGGATGCATACCACTTCTCTCTAAGATGCAAACTCCTTTGCTGGAGAAGGGCAGGCAGCACCTTTCAGCTGAGGAGCAGCTCAGCTCCATTCTCCTTCTGGGCTCACACAACTGCCTTCCTCTCAGACAGGCAGCACGGTACACAAGTCAGGGGGGGTTGCTTTTTGGAGCTGTAGCAATGGAGAACACTGCTACCCCTGAAGGCAGTTTGGTGGACAAGTGTTCATGCAACAGGACTCACATAAAAAAACAGGTATTACCATGAACAGCAAGACCGCCAAGGAAGGCAGTCCAACGTGACACAAGCCCCAAGGAGCCCACACAAAAACTGCTGCCAGAGGCCAGCAGGCCAGTAACATGATATCTCAATCAGCCGGATGCTGCTGCCTCCCCCCACCCCCAGCGTAGGGAGCAGAACAGCCAGCCAGCTTTTTGTGAAGTCACCAGAGATGCCTTTAACGGCTACGGTGAAATTCCCAGCATTTGTGTCAACGTTGATATTAGCTCCTAGTTCCCAGCTGGGCAAAAAGCTAAGTGCTGCGCCCAGACACGAAGATGAGTGAAGCATCTTGCCTTTAATAATAATAATAATAATGAAATTACATACTGTCCTTCATCTGAAGATCTCAGGATGGCTCACAAGACAGGCTGCACAGCCTCCTGATGGTGGGTGTTGTGGGTGTGTGATGTTTGGGGTGAGCACAGGGTGCAACGTCTTCCCCACGTTCCCTGATCCTAAAGTGTGGCCTATTGCACAAGACAGAGAGTGAGTGTGCTCTGGCATCTCACAGGGGACAGTCTCCAGGGGGTGGCCTAGCCCTAACATAGGGTAGTTCAAGGCTCATTTGGGATATGCATGTAAACTTCCGTTCCTTACTCAGGCTGTTGTAATAAAAAAGGAACTGGGAACAAAGAAGTCACTCCGGCCTCATGCATAAAACAGCCCCAGTCCTTGATTCTGTGCTCAGCTTGTAAGGCAAGAGGAAGGCGGCTCCACCCCACTCTCCCAAATTCTCAGGAGAAAATCATCCCCAGCAACCAGCCAGCCAGCCAAGAAGTCCTGGGGCTATGCAGGACGGCTCTGGCTCAGCCCCATCCCAGACACACCCCTGATCCATGTGAACAGGGTGGGTGTCTCTCTGCCTGGCTCCCAGGCAGGGCACGGCAGGGCAGGTCCGGCTAAGGCAGCAAGCTGAGGCTCGTCGCTGCCCCATTTCCCACAGAGCTGCGGCACGCAGTCCAGCCGGAAAGGTGGCTTTCTCTCTTGCTGAAGTGAAAAGCATCAGCCAACACCAGCAGAAGAGCAGAGCAGCTGGCAGGGGGGCGCGGGAAGGGGTGTGTGTGTGCAGCGGCTGCTTTGCAGTGCAGTGAAACAAGAAGGCAGGAGGGGAGGGGAAGCAGTTCACCTCCAGGGCAGCCTGCTTGAAGCCCTGGAGGGAGGAGGCTCTGCAACCGGGGAAGGAAGAACTGACTGTAAAAAAAGAAAGAGCATTCGCTGTAGGCCAGGCAGGAAGAGTGCAGAACCCCACAGCTGGCTTTGTGGTCACGGCTGTGCAGGCAGGGAGAGCGGAGCTGGGATTCCCACTTAGGCTCAACCCCAGAGCCTGTAAAGGAGAGGAGACATGTAAGGCAGAGTGTGCAACTCTCTGGTTTTTTTGCAGACACCAAGGGGTTAACACAAAGCATATAATTGCTGCGGGCTTGCATGGCATAGTGAATAAGATACGTGATTAAAATGGCTATTAATAGCAACAAGGAAACAGAGCCTCCATGCTCAGAGGCAGTGTACCTGGGAATAAGAGAAGCTGGGGGAAAGCATCAGTGGAGGGCAAGGGCTTCCCAGAGGCCTTTGACTGACCAGTTTGGGGAACAGAATGCTAAACGGATCTTTGGGTATCATCCAGCAGGCCTTTCCTGATGCTACATTCTTACAGAAAGCTGTGCCCGTTAGTCACCCTTTTGCACTGACCACAGGTGACCAGGTGAAGGGGGTAACAAAGTCTACCTGGCAACTGTGGCTACCAGCTGGAGAAACAGACCTGGCCATCTTGCGCTTATCATGGGGGTGCAGTTTGGCTGCCATTCTGGGGTCCACCTGGCTCAGTCGGCGATGGAGCTCTTCGCCATCCAGTTTCTCCAGCTCCATTTTCCGATCCATAGTCCCCTCTGCGGAGCCTGAACTCCTGGCCACCTCCTGCAAGATTATAAACCATGTTCACCAAAGCTTCTGAACGTCACTACAGAACCAGGTAACCTGCAGCTTGCAAGGGGGTGCCCTCCCACTCTTGGCAAGGCGGGCCAGGAGGGGGCAGCTGACCCAAAAGGAAAGGGCCCTTCCTTACGCCCGCCTCAGGGATTAGCAGGCTGTCCTGCTGAAGGGCCAATGGCTGGGCAAAAGGGGCCCCAGAGCCAGTTGCAGCGGTGAGAGAATTTCACCAGCATGGGATGGTTTCCAAGGTTGCTCCTTCTGTGCTTTCCCCCCCTAAAAAATATGTTTAGGGGTATTATCATTTTCCTACTCAATACTGCCCCTCAATGAGACCAAACTTAGATTCACAAAATGTTTAGGGGTATGCATACCCCTGAGTCCCCCCAGAAAAAAAAGCACTGGTCCTACTCAGGACTGACCCAGTGAAGTTAACGGACACAATTAACTCGAGCTGATTGTTAGCATATAGAGTTAGTATGCAATAGCAGAAGTTAACTTGAGTGAAATGAATCCTTACTTGGAGCACACCTTTATAACTGAAAGGCATTCAGGAGGAGACTTGGCATGGAAAAAGAATGCTTAGTTTATTCAAGGAAGTACTATAGAATTCTTTCCTAACTAACTAGGGAGAAACAAATAAGCCCTACTTGCTCCTTTGTTCTCAGAAAATACATCCAAGATGACCTCATGCCTCAAGGTCCAGAGGAAGTGTGAGCAGGAGGAGGAAGTTGTAAACAGGATGCAACCTAAGATTATCAGTCTAAACTTTAAAGGACAGAGAGGTCAACACAGAGGTTAAAGGTACAGGGATAGTCTGGGAATCTGGAGGTCTCATGCTCTATCTGTTTAAATACCATGCAAACACCTTTCTGCAAGCTGAGTTGCACCCAACATGAATTTCATTGGGAACATAAGACGCTGCCTTATACTGAGTCAGACCTTTAGTCCATCTAGCTCAGTACCGACTACCCTGACTGGCAGTGGTTCTCCAGGATTTCGGGCAGGACTCTCTCCCAACTCTACTGGAGGTGCTCAGGATTGAACCTGGGACCTTCTGCTTGCAAGGCAGATTCTCTACCACTGAGCTATGGCCCTTCCCCAATGGGTCTGCTCTGAGTAGGACTTAACTGAATACCACTCATGGCCTTGCAAATCTCTCTAAATACATGGAGCTGTCAAAAATGTCTATGCGACTTGGAAGCTTGCATCCTCTTCTTGTGACAGAAGTTGAGCAACAGGCTCACAAAGGAGCTTAACATCAGCAATCAGAAAGTATTATGAACAGCTGAATGAATAATGAACATTTGATTGGCTCACAAACAAATGAACAAAACACTTCTTTAAGATAGGAGAATCTGGGGTAAAACTTGCATTGGAGGAGAATAAACTGCAGTATCAGTATTTTGATATTCTGCAGTCACAAAATTCTGCAAGAAAATGGAGAGATTTTGCAAATAATTCTGTAACTGCGGATTTTATAGGACCTGGGGGCATGTTACGAAAGTAAAACTGAAAGGGTCAAAACTCCTATCAAGAGGCCACAGCATGATGCTGACAGAATGCCCTGCAAGAAGGTGCTTGTGGAATAAATAGCTCAAGCAAGTAATCCAAATATCTGAGAGCAAAAGGACACTTGGTGAAAATCCTCTCTCGTCCCAAATGTGCTGCTCAGCGAGGCCCCAAGAGTGGACCAGAAGCCCTTCTATAAAGTGATAATTTTACTGAGCACACTTCCATCCGTACTATCCGACACCCCTCATCTTATTGAAAAAGCCCCTGCTGCTGTTGCTGAGTGTGGCATCAGCCCCTGAACCCAGGGCCAGCAGAAGATGCCACAGATACCTTGGTGTCAATCAGAATCTTCCAGAGCAGGGACTCGATGTAATAGTTGGTCCCTCCAACCACAATGGGGATCTTCTTGCAAGCGAAGATGTCTTCAATGTAGGCCATTGAGGATTACAAGCGAGAATGGCAAGGAACAACCCCAGGAAAAACAAGTAATGCATTTAACAAGGAAAAAAGGCAGCCCTGAGGACAATTGGGCAATTTGCCTTGCCCTCAAGGGCTGCCCTGAGAGCAGAGGCTATGAGCTACGCTGTATCTCTGAGCTGCAGGCATTGAACATTCCTTGCAACAGAGCATGGCAGATTCCTGACAACTAAAGTCACACTTTGTCTCTTGAGCCCTCTCCTCATCACACAGGCCAGTGAGCCTCTCTATTCTCCCCACATTCAGTGCAGCTGCCTTCGTCGTCCTCAGCTGCTCATGGTACTTGCTGGCACCCTTGTGCCAGCCTCTGCATCTCTAAAAATGATGGTGCTTTTGCATGGGCCTAAGAATATAAGAAGAGCCCTGTGGGATCAGGTCAATGGCCCACCTAGTCCTGTATCCTGCTCTCATGGTGGCCAATCAGATGCCCCAATGGGAAGTACCCAAAGCAGGACCTGAGCACAAGAGCCCTCTCCCCTCCTGTGTTTTCCCAACAAGTGGTATTCAGAACAGTGCAGGCAGAGCAGAGTCTGTACCATCAGCAAGACTGGGACAAGAACAACAGGCAGTTGAAGCTGGAAGTGCACAGCACAACTGTGTGCTTTCAGATTTCCATTTATTTTAAAATCACCAATCTAACTGCAGTCAAGAAGGCTACTGTAAGTTCTAAATCTACTTCCATCCATTATTTCTTTCAAACAGACCACCCTAGCTTACTTTATATACTCTTAAGTTCCTCTGTTATCTCCAATATTTCCTGCCAAAGAGTTCTAACCTTGGGGCAGGTCCAAAATACATGTATAATACCTGCTCCCATATTGCACAATCTTCTACAATTATGCTCTTCTTCAGGAGAGTAGGTACAAGATATCATCTGAAGGGCATTTCGTGGGCATTTTCCTTCAATATGATTGAGATAACTTTTTTTTTTTGCATTCTTCTTATATAACCAGGTCCATTCCTTCTTAGTAACTGAATCATTCTTGCCACCCTTTTTCAAATTTAAAGTCAGTCTGGTCTAGATTTAAGAATATTTCATGCATCCGACTGAGATTCCTCTACTACTACAGGCATGCATTAAATGCTTCTGTCATTTTCCAAACTTCTTTTTAAGTGCTTAATTAGTGTTTCTTAATTGGTGTTATTTTTTTTATTTGTATTAGAATATGCAGATTTCATCTCCCAGAACTTCCTGGTCATGTAATTTTGGCATTCTCTCTCCATAATTTCTCAGCTGGTCTAGACCAGAAACAAAGCATGACTCATGATCTCTTGGTATTGCATTATAAAAGATCAAGGTCAGTGGTGACTTAGCGTGACTTAGTTCACTTTTCAATTTGTTCCAGACAGTATATACTGATGTTAGATCTTTCCACAACCTCCTTCCTACTAGATCCTGCTTCCGGCCACAAACGGTTCATCAAAGGCATTTCTGCCTCCTTTGCTGAGTTCCCTGATCCACAGAATTCTAACAAGAATCCACCAGGAAGAGCACAGACTATTTGCTGCCCATCTCAGCTGGAAATGAGCATTTTCCAGCTTTTTCCTTTTCGTTCTCTTACATCCATTATCAGCCCCTCACATCTCATCGTTCCCCAATCCGGCTTGCCTGCTCTAAGGCAGATGATACCCCCTAGTCTCTGTCCTTTACTACACCCCAGATGCCACACGCCCAAGACAGACACTCCCCCTGTGAAAGGATATGAGGGCCGTGGCCTTGTTGCGGAAGTCTATCACGGTGTAGTTGGTGACCAAGGGGTCCACAAAGCTGATCATGTGATGCCTGCACAGCCGCTGCTCCTGAGGAGAGGCTTTGTTGGTGATGATGTCCAGGCCTTGGTACACCTGAGAGAGGGAGAGAAAGAGACAGGCAGACTTTCACACTCACTTCGGGCTTTGTTTTATAGATAGAATAAGATCTCCCTGATTTGTTTTATACTGGTTTCAATGCATATGTTTGCTTGCTTATTGTAAGCTGCTTTTGCTAAAAAAGAAAAGAAAAAAGAAGTGACTAGTAAGTACCGTACTTTTCTCTGTATAAGACTATGTTTTTTTAATTTAAAAATCATGTTCAAAATTAGGGGTCGTCTTATACATAGGTAGCGTATTGTGGGGACATGGGATTGGTTGCTGCAGCGAGTTGGAGATTGTTATTGGTGGCTGCGGCAAGGGCTGTTGTTGATTGGCTGTCGCTACGGCAATTGGCCGGGCGATTTGCTCTGCCCCCCCCCCAAAGCTCTATAAAAAAGCTCAGCAATTCTGGGCAATCCTCCCCCCAAAAGCTCAACAATTTTGGGGGAATCTCTCCCCCCCCTCATTTTCTTAATTTTAAATTCCCCCAAATAAGGGGCATGTTATACATGGGGGCAGGTTATACACAGAAAAGTATGGTAAATAGTTCTCACAGAAGGGGTGGTCAGCTGCTGTTTGGACCATCCCACTGCAGAGCTGCAGGTCACCCAGGGCTGAAGGTTCCCCAATACAAAACAGCCATTTCACAGGAAACTAGCATGTCAGGAAGAAGGAAGCCAGCCAAGCCAGCCCCCTGACTTGCTGTTTCTCTGCAGGCAGGTGTGTGGAGTTAGAGGTTGATGGCTGGGGAGGCGTGCATTGCGGGGGGGGGGGGGAGGAACTTGCATGTACCTACAGAGGAGCCTTTCTTCATGTGAAATCTGAAGTGGCACAACCCAGATGCAGGTTGTGAACCAGACTTCATGTGTGAGTAAGACTTCGGGGTCTTTGGGCTGGTTCCTGATGCTCCTGGACAGGATGGACTGTGGTCCATTGGAAGGGAGGGAGGGAGGGCTGGGTTCCCAGGGGAGCACACTTACAGAAGGTGGCAGCAGGTCACTTGCCTACAAAATAATAGTAAGTGAAAGGCAATGGACCTCCCAACAGCTGCAAGCCATGATAGCAATGTTGCATCTTCACTGTTGGAGGCAGTATCTCTCTGTATACCAGCTGCTGGGAGTCAGAAGTTGGGAAAGCACAGCTGCAGTCATCTAGCTGGCCACCATGCAAACAGGATGCTGGACTAGAGGAGCTCCCTTTGCCTTGCTCCAGCAGCCAGGAACTTCTTGTGTTCTTATGCCCAAGACCCTCAAGAGCTACTGGCAGTCAGAGAAGATGACACTGGGCCGTAAAATGGGGGAAACGGTCCGGAGGCACCGGGGGTGGCAAGAAAGGAAGGCAAAGTGGCAGGAGGTGCCAAGAGAAAAATCATCACCTATGGTCTAATGCTGGGGTGAGCAACCCCTGGGTCCCTCCAGATGTTGTTGGACTCCAACTCCCATCATCCCTGGCCATGGGGCACACTGGCTGGGGTCTGAGCTGTTTGCAAGCAGGCAGGGAAGCTCTGCAGGCTGAGAAACCAGAGAGGAAGAAAGAAGCAAGCTTGTTTTCTGCTGCTCCAGAGGGTAGGCCCTGAACCCACGGATTCAAATCACAAGAAAGGAGATCCCTTCCTAAGAATTAAGAAGAACTTTCCGACAGTAAGCGCTGTCCAGCAGTGGAACTGACTCCCTCAGAAGTTGGTGGACGATCCTTCACTGGAGGGTTGGATGGCCATCTGTCAGGGATGCTTTTGTTGTGAATCCTGCACTGTAGGAGGTTTGACTCACTAGAAACTATGAAATGCTTGAAGCCACATTTCCTCTGTCAAATCTTTGTCTGCGGGGGTCTCTTGACATCACAAGTGGGGGATGCACCAACACTGGAGACAATCACAGCACAAGCTGCAAGGCTTGGCACTGCTGCTCACGATGAGTTTACATGTGCCCTAATGACCCAGTGCTTCAACACAGCACGGCTTGCCCGGGTCAGCCTGCCCTGCTTAAGACCCAAAGTTCACCGTTCGGGCAACACAGCTCTCCTTTTCTCCCTCTGACCATGTCAAAACAGCATCTTCTTGGGTGCTTGGTGGGGCAGACCCAGAAAAAGAGGCATGTGGCCCTTGTGTTCAATCTGGAGTTGAGTCTGCAGACAGAGCCACAAGCCACACAGAGAGCAGGCAGGTACCCCAAACCCACAATTGTTTTCACAATCTCTTTCTGGTGCAATTGACTGAGACCTGGTATTCTCCCCTACAATGTCTGAGGGTGTGCCCTAGAAATAGTCGCAAGCCTCAGAACACAGCAAACACAAACATGGTGATCCTGAGCATGTATACCTGTAGAGTCCCTCACCATTAAGGAACCACAACTAAGGTGTGCTTATCTGAGTTTGGGAGTGCCATTGTGGGTCAGGGTCTGTCAGAGAGCTTGGTGTCCTACCCACTCTCACTGTGGTGATCAAACAGGTACAGTGAGCAGGGAGAGGAACGGAGGAAGGCAAAGGCAAGCAGGAAAGCACCTCTGGGCAGCCAGGCACAGCAGAGCAAAGAAAGGGAGAGCCACTTCAGAGGGCTGGTCGGACAGCCCCTTTCGGAAAAGGCTTTACATTCTCGCAGCAGATTAGAGGCCCTTATAATAGAACCTAATAAGGCAGGCTTACTTTTAAGCCGCTATTTGTGCATGTCATCAGGGCAAGCCAGTAGGCATTTCGTGCACAAGGCAGCCGGGAGTTTGAGCTCCCAAACATCAGCAATAAGAGGACAATGTGGGAGGGGGAGGAATGATGCTGGAGATGTAGGGGGTGGGGGATAAATGCCATTCAGTTTGCATTTGAAGCTGAATCCAGCACTTTCCGAAACAACATGAGAACCGAAATGCAGCCCTCCATCAAAATTTTCTCTTATCCCAATTCTGCAATGTAGTTCACTAAAGAATGTTTACAAAAATGTATGCAGTGCATGCATGTACCAGGGGAAAGTGCATAAAAATGGATATATCCATGAAAACAATGCACTGCATTAGGAGGATTTGTGTTTATTCCAAGAAATCCACACTAAAATACTCAAGACTTTTTACAAATTGCTGCAGCAATGTGGAGAACTGAATTCATGACTGGAATAAAGAGAAATTGAGAGAACTAACATTGACAGAACCTTCCATCTCTATTGAAGAGACAGTTTTATTATGCTTGTTCTGGATCCAGACTATGTCCAAGATTGGCACAACCCCACACCCTGTGTACATTTTGAGCTCCCCCCTTTTATCAGCTAAAACACAGTTGTTAACCAGAATTTAGTCTGAAGAAGAATGAGTTCAGCTACAAGAGACTCCCTAGGACAGAAGGGAGGAAACTGCGTGAGATTTAAGTAGCCCCCAGTTGTGGAGCACTGGGCACCGCACTGGGGCAGCCCCATCGTGTTCATAGAGCTTGCAATTTATGTAGGCAAGTAAAACAGGGGAGGGGAAAGGGATTCATTGATAAGTTACAAAAGATTTTGGGGAACAGCTGCTCCTGTTTCATCACTGTTGTCGTGTTCGTGACCCCTTCCCCTCCCCATCTACCCTGGCTGAAAGAGAAGTTGGCAAGGACAAGCCAGCCAGCTCTCTGCCACACCCACCAAGGCAGTTCTTCCAAAGAGCGCCATTGTCCCACCGACAGGCCTTTGCCCCAGCATTCATTCTCACCAACACAGATCTCTTTAGTGCTATAGTCCCTGGAACTGGCCTTGCACAAAGGGCTCTGGTGCCACTGGCAGGGCACAACGGGCAGCATCTGCCAGGGCTGCTCTGAGAGGTCCCCGGAGAAAAATGCAAGTCAGAAGGAGCCTCCACAGGAAACCCAGCCAAGCACATGATGTGCAAAGGGTGCCTGTCCATTCATGATGTGGGTGTCAGAGCTGAGAACAGGATGAGGCCTCCTTTGTGTGGGGCAGGCTTAAGCTCTGCTGCGTAACTTCGAGGCTCCCGGGGCAGGGGGCAGATATGGCTAGCGCACAGGATGGTTTCTGCAATTTACAGGACGTGAACACATTATCAGAGCAAAACAAGGTAAATCAGAGGAAGAAAACTTAAAGCAGATTTAGCTCTCTTCTCTTTGGGTTAAACCACAGAGCCTAGGACTTGCCGATCAGAAGGTCGGCGGTTCGAATCCCCACGACGGGGTGAGCTCCGATTGCTCGGTCCCTGCTCCTGCCAACCTAGCAGTTCGAAAGCACGTCAAAGTGCAAGTAGATAAATAGGTACCGCTCCGGCGGGAAGGTAAACGGCGTTTCTGTGCGCTGCTCTGGTTCGCCAGAAGCCGCTTTGTCATGCTGGCCACATAACCCGGAAGCTGCACGCCGGCTCCCTCGGCCAATAAAGCAAGATGAGCGCCGCAACCCCAGAGTCGGTCACGACTGGACCTAATGGTCAGGTGTCCCTTTACCTTTACTGACCTATCCTGGCTTTGCTTCTCCTCCACTACCACCTGCCTCTCTGCCATTGCATGAACCTCTTCTAACAAACTATGAGCCAATTTTTTTCTAGAGGTGTACATGTGTCATGTTTCCTTTTCCTTGTGCCCAATTTCCATTTTTTGCCATTAAAAACCCCAGCATCATTAAAAATTGACCAATAGTGACTGTGTTTTTGTTATTTGTGTGGAGTGAGTGAGGACTTTCTTTATCATTTTCTGCATCACCTGTAAAGAAAACTCAACAGCAAGTTTGGCAAGCACAGGGGGAGTATCAGGGTCATGGAGGGTTTTTTGTGTGTGTGTGTGCAGATGAGAGCATAGGGAGTTGGAAGACAATAGAATAGTGATCGGGGCAGAGTTAGTGTGCTGAGCCTTACTGCCCCCCCCCATGTTTACTCTACCCTAACTGCAATGCCTGAAGAAGGTTCATGGTTACAGTCTCTATCTCAGTGAACAAAAACGGAAATTATAAATTAGCAGAGAGATCAACTTTGACATTTTCAAGTTTGCAGATATGCAAATTTCACCTGACCATGTTACCAGATGCTCCAGCTTATAGACATCATGTACAAGGTAGGGATGGAGAACCTTCCCCCTGACCCCATTATTGACAGACATAAATGTAAAAGGAGAAGGCAAAACTATGGAAGTGCAAAGAACTGAAGAAGAGTTTGCAGTCTTAGTCCACTCTTGCACAAATCCACAGCCCAGCCCTAAGGCTCACCAGCTGGTGTGTCAAAAGCCAGAGTAAAGAGGTGTGTCTTCAGCATCCTTTGGAAGCTGTATAATGAAGGTGCCAGACCTCTGGTTGATTGGAAGTGGTTCTTAATCAACACAGTCAGTCTAACTTTTGTAGGAAGGTAGTTTCAAAGTCACTGAGCAGCCACTGAGAAGGATCTTTCCCCACCAAACAAGACTGGGAGAAGGGCCTCCCACAAAAATCTCAGAGCCCGGGCAGGTTTGTGCCCTGTTGGCATGTGATACTGGGGGCAAAGGTCACCAGTGCCCCAAATTCCCTACTATGACAACTCTTTACCTCTTCAGCCCAACTTAATCTGCAGGTGATGCTTGGCATTAGGAGCCAGTGCAGGCCTTCACATTCCATGCATGCTCAGAAGCACTCTCTCCATTACTATACAATGGTACCTCGGGTTAAGTACTTAATTCGTTCAGGAGGTCCGTTCTTAACCTGAAACTGTTCTTAACCTGAAGCACCACTTTAGCTAATGGGGCCTCCTGCTGCTGCTGCGCCGCAGGAGCACGATTTCTGTTCTTATTCTGAAGCAAAGTTCTTAACCTGAAACACTATTTCTGGGTTAGCGGAGTCTGTAACCTGAAGTGTATGTAACCTGAGGTACCGCTGTACATGACTGACAGATAGATAGATAGATTAGAATCTATCTATCTATCTATCTATCTATCTATCTGTCTGTGTGTGTGTCATAACATCCCTTCATCCAAGGATCGCAATGCTGCTGATCCAGGGTTGAGTCCTGGCACAGAAAAGAGGTTCCGAGGCTAAGCCCTGCCTCCTCTTTTCCCTTGCCACCAGAGGCGCTTCCTTCTTGTTGGCCCTTGGCTGGCCCGGCTGTCGCGAGCAATGAGCTCTGCACGCGCTTGCTGATCCCCTCGCCTCCCAATTAGTACCAGGCAGGGACGGGGTCTCCTTCCCTCTGTTGCCTGCCTCCCTCCCTCCCTACCTACCTGCATGGAGTCGGCGCTGATGATCTCCCCGCCGAGGCGGCGGCCCAGCTGCAGCGCCAGGCGGGATTTGCCGGTGCCCGTCGCGCCCAGGATCACCACCAGGGGCAGCGGCCGCGCGGCAGACGCCATTGTGGCTGGCGGGCGAGCGAAGCGGGCGGCTAACTCGCCATGCGCTGCAAGGCCTCGGCCGCTTTGCGGTAGCCGGAGGAGGAGGAGGAGGAAGAAGCAGGCCGCGAGGAGGCGGGGCCGCGGCCGAGGGGCCGGGACGCCCGCCTGCCGGGCCCCAACCAGCTGCTGCCTGTGCCTTCGCCGTGCCCGCCTCCCTCGCGGCAAGCCGGCCCAGCGCGGGCAGAGAGCATCCGTGGCCATCGCCGCTGGTCCTGCCGAGGGGAGCCGGAAGATCTGGAGGGCCGCGCATGTGCCTCGCCCTCCGTAAAGCAGCAAAAACGGGCCCTTTTGCAAAAATAATACTCTGCACATTCCCAGCGTCCAGGGCGCCGCTTCTCTGATAGTCTGCAGAAGCACAAGCGTCTTCTTGTGTGGTAGAGGCTAACGGGCTGTTTATTTCAGGGTTTCCTGTGAGAACAGGATGCTGGTCAAGGTGGGCCTCCTTTGGCTTGATCCAGCCCGTTGTTCTGATGTACTTAGGCTCAAGGTGATGCACATAGTTCCACTGCCCCAAGGTCACCCAAGGAGCCTCATGGCTGAGTGGGGATTTGAACCCTGATCTCCCAAGTCCTAGCCTGACACTAACCATCAATCCACACCGGCTCTCCTCATAATGGGGGGGGCGGGGGGCGGGGAGAGAGAAAAGCTAACATCCTTTGTAAAGAAAGGTTTCACTGTGACTACAGTATCCTGCTCTGAGCAGGGGGTGGACTGGGTGAGCTTCAGGACACCCTGAAACACTTTATCATTGTCTACAGATGGTAAGGTAAAGGTACCCCTGCCCGTACGGGCCAGTCGTGTCCGACTCTAGGGTTGTGCGCCCATCTCACTCTATAGGCCGGGGGCCAGCGCTGTCCGGAGACACTTCCGGGTCACGTGGCCAGCGTGACGAAGCTGCTCTGGCGAGCCAGCACCAGCGCAGCACACGGAAACGCCGTTTACCTTCCCGCTATAAAGCGGTACCTATTTATCTACTTGCACTTAAGGGTGCTTTCAAACTGCTAGGTGGGCAGGAGCTGGGACCGAAAGACGGGAGCTCACCCCGCCGCGGGGATTCGAACCGCCGACCATACAATCGGCAAGTCCTAGGCACTGAGGTTTTACCCACAGCGCCACCCGCGTCCCCTCTACAGATGGTATTGGTTGCCAATTGGCTATTTGTAACATAGAATGGCACCTCCTGTTGAATGATGGCTTCATTTGCATGGACTCCATTTGTCTGTTCCTATGAACAAGCAAATCTGGGCTCAGTGCAACTGTGCCATGGACAGGCATGCAGAAGAGGTGAAGCTGGAACGAATCACAGGATAGGGAACCTTACCAATATTGTCTAAATAATGTGCCTGTTAAGGCTGTGGCCCTTAAAACCTGTGATTTCCGAGCATTTTGGCACTTGAGTGGATATGACAAACTTATAACAATATGCTAAGCCAGGGATGAGGAACCTGTGGCCCTCTGGGGGTCACTGAAGTCCCATCAATCCCAGCCAACATGGCCAATAGCTAGGAATGAGGGGAGCTGTCATCCAAAAACATCTGGAGGGCCACAGCTTTGATGTAGTGCAGGGTTTCCCAAACTTGGGTCTCCAGCTGTTTTGGGGACTACAACTCCCATCATCCCTAGCTAGCAGGACCAGTGGTCATGGATGATAGGAATTTTGGCCCAAAGAGCTGGAGACTCAAGTTTGGGAAACCTTGATAGTGGTTAAGAGTCTTGAACTGTGATCGGAGGGGGGGGCAGAGTTTGGATCCCCACTCAGCCATGAAGCTTGTTGTGTGATATTGGAACAGTCACTCACTTTCAGCCTAACCTACCTCACAGGTTTGTTGTGAGGATAAAATGGGGACTGGGAGAAATCATGCATACCACCTTGAGTTCCTTGGAGGAAAGGTGAGATATCAGTAAATCAAATAAATCAATGATTAAAAAAGGCTTCCCATCCCTGCATTAAACCCAAAAGGTTCTTTTTAATCACATCTGTCTATGATGAGGGCTGATGGGGATTATAGCCACATGCAAGGTGATGAAAATGAAGGTTGAGGGAGGGAATATTACCATAGCAACCATACTGGAAGGTGGGGGATCTAACATTGGTAACTGGGTGGGAAGCAGAAGCTCTGCAGAAGCATAAAGAGATGAACTTGTGACCAAAGACAGGGAAAAAGGAATTGTTACTGTAGCAACAGAGTCAGGAAGAAAAAAAGGATAGGGAGACAGTTGCCAGGGTGATGGAGGCTATCGTCAGGGTAACAGAAGGGGTTCTGTGATTTTCTGCCATGACAACGGGAGGAGGCGACTGCTCTTCTCCTAGCAACACACATCTCTTGCCATGGCAACAGAGGGAGAGCAAGGATCCCTTTTCAAAAGCAGAAGAGCTCATTGGCAGAGATGGGATTAGAGCAGCCTCAGCCAAACTGACACAATAATTTACTAACCCAGGCACGAACCCACCTCCCCGTCACCCTTTATGCAAGGCGATATGAAAAATGCATGAAGTTTTACTCACCCATGTGTCCAAAATAAATAACACTGCTGTCTGAAAATAAGTAACAATGCTTTCTGAAAAATCATTCAAGATGTTAGAGGAAGACTTTGAACCAGGCTTTCTTTGTTTATGTGTATATGCCTATACATGCGGCATGTTTGGGGTAGCATTATAAGGAAGATTTGTGCTAGATTTTTAAAAATGGGCTTCTGGTCTGGTTACACTTTGAAGTCAAAACAAAAGAGGTTCAAAGACTACCTTGTAGAGCATAGGTTTGGCACACAAAAGTTCCCAGGTTCAATCCTCATTGGTGTGTCCAGTTAAACTTTAGGAAGGCAGGTACCTGGACTGAGAAAATGAAATATATCTCAGTGGTAGGCTACCTGTTTTGCATGCAGAAGATCCCATCTTCAGTACCCAACATCTCCAGGTAGGGTTGAGAATGTCCCTTCTGAAACCCTGGAGATTGCTACTAGTCAGTGTTGACCAAGGACAGGAAGCCTGCAGCCTTCCAGAGTTTATCAACCATCCCCAACATCCTTGAAACATCTGGGTGGCCACTGTGTAGACAACACTGATCTCAATGGCCCAGCTTGGTATAAGCCAGCTTTCAGTGCCCAGTGCTGGCTCCAGGTTTTGGGAGGCCCTTGGGAAGGATCCCTCCACCGCCCCTCGCCATTGTGGTATCTGCCGCATACATGCTTTTAATCTGCTTGCTGGCTTGCCAGAATCAATGAGCAAGCAAGTATTGGCAGCTCCACTTCCTCACCATCACTCCTGTTTGCTTGCACATCCCTTCTGGGTTAGAGCAAGCAAGAGGCAGGTGAAAAAGCTGGTTACAATGGCGGGGGGGGGGGCTCATGGCAGTGGTGGGTGTCTAACCATATCTGACACTTTTACCACCACCCTTCCTCTTCCCCAGAGCTTAGGAAGCTGCCAGTCAGAAGGGCCAACACCTGGCTAGATCACCTACCAATGGCTGATCAATGTAAAGCCATTTTCTCCCTCCCTGCCACATAGAGGTGTCTTCTTTCTTCTAACATCCAACACTACCACCCTGGATGCTGTTCTGCTGTCATGTGAAGACTGCTAGGTAGGATTCCGACAGGGCTACCCATCTATAGTTTCCTCCCTTTGGAATTATGATGGTGTTTTTGGTTACGAGTAGAGGTGTGGTTTTATTTCATGTTTGACAGCCTTAAGTACTCCACTTTGGCATGTAAAGGCAGGAAGAAACCCTGCAAATAAAGCTCCACTTTAAGAGAGTTCATTTCATGAGAATCCTGTTGCTCTCTTCTTCCTATAAGGGTATGATCTGCCCAAGCTGAAAACCCACACAAGCCCATGGAATGACAAGAGAGAGCTGGATGCTTAAGGTTCTTTTGCTCCGTGCTACATGTGGTTTACACGCAGAACGTCTCAGGTTCAGTTCCCAGCATGTTCAGTTTATGAGCTGCTAACCAGAGCCAGCAACATAGTGTTCAGTTGGCCAGCCTAACTTTGTACTTCATAGGTCCCAAGGTGCAATTCATGCTACTAAGATAATTTATTGTTAGTAGTCACTATGCAACATATTAGCATGAACATTTATTGTGCCATTGAAAAATGAATTGTCAGTCTTCATTAATAAGACATTATTTCATTTTGTTTTGGACCTTGATCCAAATTCCAGCTCTGCCACTGGGAGGCTCCGGTAAATCACAACCTCCTACCCAATACCCCATCTGTAAAATGGGAATATCAGTAATCTACCTCACACTGAGAGCAAACAGAATTGTAAAGCACTTATTAATAAGTCTGTTTCATCAGCGGTGCCTATTTTTAGAAGCCACAGAGCTACTGAAGTCCTGAGGCACCTGACCTACATACCTGATTTTGCAATGGGACTCAGACATGTCCCAGCCTCTCCTTAATCTCCTTAATAAAAGAGAAACCTTTTCCCATCTGCTTGTGGAGGATTCATGCTTTGATTTTCCTAAAGTGCTTAGTCATCGTCTACTGCAAGGGTAGGCAATGTTTTCATGCCGAGGGCCACCTTCTCTCAGGATTGAGGGCCAAATGCCAGGAGAGGGCAGGGGTGTAGTTTAATGAGCCAGGCATGAAGGGGTGTAGTCAATGCTACTCCTACTCACGAGTAGAGTCACTGAAGATAATGAACATGACTCAGATCCATTTATTTCAATGGATCTTCTCTACAGAGGACTTAGTGGGATACAGCCCAAAGACCCTTTCATCCTGGCACCTTAGATTACAATGCTCAATCCTAGACAGGTCCATTCTCAAATTACATATGCAGAGAGGATTTTCCTTTAGTACAACACACTGATACAGCTGCTGTTCTAGAAGTGCGACCCGTTCAGCTTGTTCTAAAACTTCTCAGAATGAGGGGAAGAAAACTTGCTTTTTAATGCATTGTGGTGAGATATGAGTAAAACCCAAATGTTCTTAGGCCCATTTGCCTTGTTTAAAAACACCCCCTCAAGTAAAAGTCCTCTTATCTTACCATTATTTTCTATGCAAGAACAGCTATTTAAAGACTATGATTCCAGGTCACCTGGTTAGCCACTCTCTTCTGCTTTCTGTCTGGACACAATGGTTTTAGGATATCAGCAATGTTAAATGTGCCCAGAGAATATCAACAAAGATGGTGAGAGGCCTGGAGACAGTCCTGTGAGGAAATGTTGAAGGAAGTGGGTAGGTGAAGTCTGAAGAAATGATGTGACAGGAGAGCCATTCAACACTGTGAAGGTGGCTGTCATATAGAAACAAATTGTCACCATCTGTTGGTTCCAAGGATAGGACCTGAACTGGTAGAGAAATACTGTATAGACTAAACAAGGATGAACTTCCTAATGGTGCAAGCTGATTCCCCGTGAAAGAGCCTGCCTCTGATAGTGATGGGTTTTTCTTTTTTATTAGAGGTTGTTGAGCTAAGCAGAACCAGGATGGCTCTGACAGAATCAGAGCTGAAAGCATCCCAAAGTTCATCTAGCCCAACGTGCTACAGAGGCAGAAATTCTGTTTTGCCAGGATTCCTGAGGGGCTCTGCTGATACATTGCCTCCACTTCTGATGGCTCCCAGTGGCAGGCAGACACAGAAAGGAATGCTTGTTGCAGAGAACTGGATCCAACTCTAAGGGGGCCAAAAGATTTAGGGTGCATTAATTCCTACAAAAAGATCTTTCAGCTACACTGCTGAACATAGAAATGTGCAGCCAATAAGAGGGAAATGAAAGCAGGGGCAGGACTTTCAGACAGGTGAGAAGGTGGGCTCAGTGCTTCAGAGAGGGTCTGGTCCATCTCCCAGCAGAGGAAAGATGATGTGCAAATACAGTTAATCACCTCAAATACACAGCTTTTTACATTTTCTACTACTGCTGCTGAAATACTGTCTTCCATTTATGTCTTTTTCTTATCCCAAGATCATCATAAGCCTATAGAATACTGTAAAATCCCCCCAGGTCCTATATAAACATAAAAGAATCACCACACATCAAGAGCAGCACAGAAAGAATTCCTGCCTACACTCTCTTATTAGCTGCATGTGGATGGGTTGATTCAGCTGCGGGCTATGACAGCTCTCCTACTTCTTCTCCGTTTCCCATGCTCTTCATTGGGAGCACATGCCAGAACCATGCTCCCCTGGTTCTCTTTTTCCAGGATATTGTCCAAACTTTCTCCTCTTCCCCTCCTCTACATAACTAAACAAACATGCATTCAACTAAATTACAACCACGAAGACTGATTTATCTTTGCAGATAAGGGTCTCGCATACATCCCTTGGCTCAAAAAGGGAGGGGGGAAAAGCAGACTCAGCCTGTCCTTTTTGAGATTCCGTTTATTTAAGAAGTGCGAGGTAACAAAGAAAGTGCTAAGTCTGACCACCCAGCGTTGAGGCTCCAGCGGGCCAGTCAAGGAACGCCTGAAGGAGCCCCCAATGCATTGTGGGAGACCAGTCTGCGCCCACCAAACTGTGTGCAAGCCAAGATAAAGGGTCATCCATCACCTCCAGCTCTGGCCTCTCCCTACCCAAGAGACAAAGGAGGATGGGTGGGAGGGATCTGCATAAAAGGGAAGGAGGGAGAGGGGGGGTAGCCCCAGCCAGCTCAACAAAAGCTGTTAAGGACCTGGCAAAACCAGAGCAAAAAACACAACACCACATTATCATTGCTTTCTTTCTCTTTATGCATGGGACTGAGGTGCTCCCTTTCCTGGGGGCGACACAGTGGAACCTAGCTGTGAGTAAACATCAATTAACGCCACACTGCACATTTTCCCCAAAATATATTCATGCAGCCCTTTTATTTCCAGAGAAAGGGAAGGTGGAGGGGGAAAGGCTTCTCTTAGTCTTAAGAATCAGTAGGACACCTTCAGTAGAAAACTTCTCTATAGGGGGCAGTTGAAATTACAGTGTTCCCATCTAGGGACTCCCTTACCCACCCACTCTACCAAAACACCCTTAAGATGTCCAATAGTCTCATTATTGGTGCTTGAAACTTGGGACCAGACCACTGACTTAGGAAATCATTTTCTAGTCAAAACAGAAGTATTTTTTTCCTGCTGAATCTCAGTTTGAACGATCTCGTCTACAAAAGCAGTACTGAGAGCCCTCTACCCACTGTTTTATCTTTGAAAAGCTGGGAGGAAAGAGAGAACAAGTATTTTACAAAATAATTTCTAAAAAAAAGTATAAAAATAGTATATCTTAAAAAAAGCCATCCAGTATAAAGAATCAGGCAGTCACAACAATGGATTCTAGGATATACAAAACCAAAGACAAGCAGCTGCATTGCCCAAGTGGAAAAATAAGTATGAGGTAAATGAAATCCAAGGTGATCTCAGTGCATTTCCAGTGAAGGAGCAGTTGGGGGGGAGGGGGGGAAGAATGTCTTAAATGCACACATCAAGCCTCTAACAGTTCTTGAGAGAAGGTTCTGCACCCCTCCATCTCAGAAAGAGGAATTACCCCCGAGGGGCAGATTCAAGGTTGATACAGCAAGACAGCAGTCAGGTCTCATCACTGGACACAACTGATTAGAAGTTCACCTGAATCAATCCCATTGAAACCAATCCACTTTGGGGTCTATTATGCTGATGCCATTAAGGGCAGAATCACACCATACATTTTAAAGCACATGTTTTCACCCAAAGAATCCGGGGACCCAAAGAACTTTAGTTTGTTGAGGGTGCTGGGAATTCTGGCTCTGTGAGAAACTACAGATGCCAGGATTCTTTGGGGATTGGGTGGGGGAAGTCATGTGTGCATGGTGTAGATCTGCCCAATATTTTTTTCCACCTCAAGTGTGAAAGGCACTGATCTTAGCCTGAGGGGTTATCTAGCTGTATATCTCAAGCAAAAGCCAGATTTAAGCTGTCTTCAAGTGTCAGCTGTGAAATAACTTCACATAATGTGACATTCTCCACCTGGTACCCTCCAGATGTTTTGGGCTACAACTCCCATAAGCCCTAGCCAGGACATCAGAGGTGGCGACATTTAAAAATTCACCCATAATAAATTCCAAGAAGGGAAGAGAGCTGTCAATCCTAAACAACATTGGAAAATAGGGCGGGGGAGTGTGCTTGGGGGTGGGGGAAAGTCTATTGCGTAGGACCATTGTAAAAAAAGAAACAAATTGCACAATATATCTGTCTTCTTAAATGCCAGTGGCAAGAAGCAGAGCCTGGGGAGAAAAGAGGGTATGTAGAACTATCCATAGCCAGTGTTTACAATCCAACTTTGACTGGGGGAAACAGAATAAGCCTCTTGAGAGAGACAACTGAAGGGTCCATCTTTGTCCCAGCTTTAGAAATGTTGACTCAGGCCCCTCTGTCAGAAAGTACTGTGAAGCATTCCACAAGATGCTTTTCCAGAGAAACACTCAGGCTTCTGGTGATCCCAACCGGAATGGAGGCTCATTCAGCCTGTGAAGAAGTCAGCATTTTGCTGTAGAAGCTGAAGTCTGAGTAGCTAAACCCCGCTCAACCCCACTGCCCTGATCATCATCACTCCTGCACAACTTAGGAGATTCTCCAGCACCCATAACTGGCTAAGAGAGAAGACCAGGGTGGAAAATAGTGTATGGAATGCAAGCCCCCATTTGTGTGCACCAGCTGCATTGCATTCTGGGATCTGCAAGTCAACAAACCAATTTGTTTTTGTTTGGTCCCCCCCCCCCAACAAAAAAGTGCAGAGATCAGGCTGGCAAGCAGTTTGGAGTTCCTGGCAGCTAATGCGCACTCTTGAGGTACGAAATCCGTTTCAACAGCTGAAGCTGATGCAATTTTAGCAGCTTCTTCTCAGCAACCATCTGCTGCTCTGCTTTGAGTAGTGACTGCAGATACTCTGACGCTTTGCTCAACACCACCACTTTGGGGGTTTTGGGGCAGGTGGCGAGACCAGGGACCTGGTCCCTCAGTGCCAGGAAACGCGAGCGGAGGTCGTTGCGCCGCTTGCGCTCCAAGTAGTTGTGGTTTTTCCGCTTGGTCACGTCTTCACTGTCCGAACTGGGAGCGCTCCCGGATTTCAGGAGGAAAGGTTCAAGAGAGGAAGGCTCTGCCACTTGCCTCAGGGACTGTGCACCACCATCCTCCTCCTCCTCCTCCTCTTCCTCTTGACTGCTTTTCTCCAAGGCAGCCGTGCAGGAGCAAGCCTCGGGTGGTGAGCGGGCTGCGTAATTGTGCTGCTGCTGGTGGATGGATATGTGGAAACGTTTCATGCAAGGGTCCAAGGGGTCAGCCCGCACAGTGATGGTGACCGGCTTCCTCACACCCAGCGACTGCCTCTTCTCAACCGTCACCACGTCAATTTCTTCCCCTTCTGTGTACAAACAAGAGGGAACAACCCATTAAACCTTGGCAAACACCACAGGCTGTTTCAGACAGTAACACACAAGTTAGCACACCAGGGTGGGTTTCATGCGGCCAACCAGGTGCCCCCCAGATGTTTTGCACCACAGCTTCCATCAGCCTCAGCCAGCTTGGCCAATGGACAGGGATGATGGGAACTATAGCCCACTTTTTTATCACCACGAAAATCAAGGCAGCATACATACATTCAAGCTGTACTGAGGTTACAAGGCAGCCTCACTGACTAGACTCAACCTGCTTCGCTTCAAAGCCAGCTCTGTACATCAAGTGGAACTGGATTCCTCAAAGGGTCTGGGACCGATTCCCAGTTCCTTATTCTAAACAGAACTGCATGAGGTGTCTAACGAAGGAACCAACCTTTCTATGCCATTGCAAGATGTAACAAGGTAGTGGTCCAAGCATTTTGAGGGGAGCAGGTGTTCAGGAGCATAAAACCATGCAGCTCCATTTAAAGTAAGACTCTGGGAAGCAGTAACCAACATCAGCTGCATCACAGAAGGAGCAGCACATTTGGGCAAAGTCATCACCTTCCTAGAGCCTATCAAAGGCTTCCTAAAGATTTCTAAAGCCTCTCTACTTTTCCTCCTTCCTGAATCTCAAATGGAGAACTTGTACATGCACACACACAAGGGTGGTGACAATGGTTTTGCTCAAATCTCAGTGGAGAATGATGAAGAAGAGATGGGGACCTGCACCAAATGTTGTGGACGGGGGGGGGGGTGGTGGTGGTGGTGGTGGTGGTGGTGAAGGGACTGAAAACAAAGGGCAAGGCAAAGCCCCACCTTTCTTTTAATCCCTGGCTCCAGGGATGCTATGAAATCTGTTTCTGCAGAATCAGCAAAGAGCCAGTCTACTGATGTCTTACTATTAAGCACTGAGGCCAACTGGGGACAGGTGGGTCTCTTCATCTCTTTTGGTTCCTGAAGCTACCACACACAGTAGGAAAGGACTAGGAAGATGCACAAGCCAGGGGGTGAAGTGCAGGGCAAAGGGGTCATTTAAGATGCACCTGCTGAGCCAGGTTCCTTCTGCACCTCATAAGCCATATATAGAGATGAAAACTAACTTTAAAAACTGATTATCAAGTTCACTTGTTTTCTTTTCCCCTCCTTGTTTTCATTTATCTTTTTGCCTAAAGAGCAGAATAAGTATGCTTTTAAATTAATGGTGAAGTTACACAACTCAGAAAATGGTAAACAGAGCTCCAAACACCACATCAAAACCCACCAAGTAGTGCTCATTTTCATATGAAGAACACCCAAGATGAAAGATAAGTCATTAGCTCATGGCCAACCAGAAGGTTTTCATTTTTTTAAAAAGGCAAACTGAAAAGTCCTTCCCAATCTACTACTAGAGCATCCTAATGTACTTATTGCCCACTCCATAAAGTGTTGGGCATGGTTCCAGATTCAAATCTCACCCTATAAGCTGCTTTATTTTGAGGGCAAAGACTAGATTCTTAACCTTTAGCATTTACTGAAAGGATGAGCGGTCTGATCTACCTTCTCTCAAGCAGTCTGACTTGGTGCTATTGCAAATGTAATTCCTGCAGGAATCCTGTGGCACTGGGAGCTTCATTCTGGGGAGGGATGAACATTTCTGTCCCCAAGGGTCTGTTAACAATTGCAATGGAATGGAGGTTTTTTGTCTTTGTGTCCCTGGAGGGGAGGGGAGGGGGTGGCTTTCCCAAAGGCAATTGTAAGGGACAAAAGGCCAGGCCATCATCAAGGCATTCCTATGCTCCCCATCCCCAATTAAAAAGACTGGGGGCAATAGTCACCATTGGCCTGGAACAAAGTTTAGTGCTAAAGCTCTATCTCTCCCCCAACCTCCACCCCCCAAGGCTCTTTCATTGCCCATTGGAATTGTAAATGAAGCAGGGAATGGGGAGAGATGGCCTTTGCCCCTACAGCTTCACACTTCAGGAGGGATTTGCTACTTTTCAGAAGTAGTAAATCCTGTTCAAAGGATTCCATTCCCCTGCACAAACAACCTCCCCAACACACACACAGTGGGCAGCCCTCCCCACTTAGCCAGAGATGCACAGAAAGGATCTCGGCACCTCCCCATCCAGTATACAGGAAGGGGGTGGGAAGAGAAGGTCCTTTAAAGGCCTTTGCACAGAAGGCTTGAGTGACTTTCAAAAGATTCAAGTTATACAGCCTTCAGACAAAGTGGTCAGAGTTTTTTAAAGAAAGAAGTTTAAGGGGAAAGGTTATCACAGTAGAAAACAAAGAGATCGGTTCTGAACTCACAAAGCGAAGTCCCGCTAGTCTGCATGAGCAAGAAATCAGCCATCTGGTTTACTGCAGCAACAGCTTTCAGAGGAAAGCTTCTCCCTATCTGTGTTGGCTGGAATTAAGTTCTGCTGAGAACAATGGAACTTGTATGCCTAAGACAGCCTGTGACAGGTTGCACATAGACAATGTTTCCTAGAAACTGACCAAGGGCCCTTGTGGAGAAAACTACAGGAGGCACATTTTTCACAGAAATACACAATGAAAATGATTTCAAGTTACACAGAAGGTGGCGTCGTGCCTACTTAAGAGTTGGAGTCATTCAAAGCATGTCTCCAGCATTTCACATGTCACCTACTAAGGGTCCTCTTGCTTGCTCTCAGGAACAAGGCACATAGACAGTCTTCTGCGGGACGCATGTCTAAAAACCATTCTTACAAGGTTCTGTGACAGCTCGCTACCATGAGGCCCCCAGGAGAGTGCAAGATACTCTTGTCCTCCTTTTTCAAAAGCTTAAGCACCATCATATGCAGAAGAAAACCACCTCATGTCACAAATGGGGAAGGGTCAAAATTTTTAATACTCTTCAGAAACATGGGTGGAAGGAATTCACTGCTTCTATCAAGTCAGCTCATGATAGCCAGCACTGATGCAGAAGCGCCAAGTTGCTCACACACACAGCCACACCCAAGATTGAGAGTGCAGATGTGTATTGTGCTTGTGTGATGTCACACATGCAACGTTGTCGTCTGCAGAAGCCAGCCACTGAAGCTGAGATGTGCAACTGGCGTCCTTCCAACCAATAATGAGACACCTTGGCCCCCTAGAGTTGGCATGCCTGCACTGATGGGAGTTGTAGTCCAAAAGACCTTGAGAGCACAAGGCTGGGGAAGAATGGCATAGCGGAACTCAGCAGTGTTATTTTACCCCATCTCTATGCCAGAGGTTCCAAGCCATTAAAGCCCATGGCAAATGGAGAATCACAGCCAGACAATGGTAGCAGCAGAGCATACAGTGGGCACTCCAGCTTGCTCCGTCTGCTTAATTCTATGGACAGGGTAAGGTCTCCTGCAGCAGGCTCAGTTTCAGCAGGGCTTGTGCCCCACACCCTCCCAGCCCTCCACATAAGTTCTCATCCACAGTGCACACTATCTGGTGCCCCTAATTGCATTGTTTAAGCCTTGTTTCTGCCTCCATTAATTTATAAATAAAGAACACAGGCCAGCTATGCCCCCACTTTGCCTTCCCCCCACTTGCTTTGCATTTTTAAGTACTCTCCTTCTAAAACTTGCATTGGGCAAAACAATCAGCACTTTCCCATTAATAAAAAAATTGTGACTCAGTGAGAACAACCTTCTCCAAGCATCCTGGCAATCAGCCAATAGCAGTGCTTGAAACACTGCTGTTACCTACCCTCCGTCTCTCATTGGCATAGTGAGCTATTGAGAGTGCACACACACAAACACTTGCATCTGTTGCTTTTTGTCCCAGGAATCATGTGACTGGCTGAAAAAAACAGCATCTGAAGGAGGAGCCTAGATGCTGATGGGGGTGAAAAGTCCAGGTCAGCAAGGGCAAGCACAATTAAATAAATCAATAACATTCCCCGCCCCTTCTGCTAATTGAGATTAAGACCTGCTTCTCCTAATGTAATTAAATCTTATACCCAATTTGTTTCTCAACCCAAGCCCTATTCAGGCTCTATAGTGAGTCATATAAGCAGTCACTGCTTACCCAGTGACTCAGCCCTACAAGGATTAACAACAAGGCCAGAGTATTAGAAAGTGTGCCCATTTCAAGGCTATGTCAGTTTTTCAAGGGATAACACATGCCACAAGTTTATTTACAGCAATGTTAACCCTGAACACAATATTCATGTGGTGTTCTAGTTGGGGCTGTTGGGAGTTGCAGTCCAAACAACCTGAAGCAGGTGAGAGTTTGCAAGGGGGACGGACCAGGTTGGCAAAGGTTGCTAGAGGCAAAGGTATTATTCTGTGGTCTGCCTACAAATGAGGACTGGATGTGCAAGCGAGGTACATCAATCCAAACAGAATGAAAGCATTTTTAAAAACTTAAGATTTAAAAGCATTGAGATCAGATTAGCCAAACAAATTGGGCTGGGGGAGAAGGAAGAGGTTGTGAAATTTCCTTCCTTAGAGACTTGAAAAGACAGAGGCAGGCTTCTAGCTGTGAGTAGTTCAATCCTGCATAGGAAGCTACCTTATACTGTACCAAGTCAGTACTGTATTGTCTAGATTCTATACTGACTTGCAACAGCTTACTAGGATTTGAAAGGATTCTCAGTTCTACTTGGAGATGCCAGAGATCGAATTTCAAACCTTCTCCATACAAAGGTGATGCTCTACCAAAGAATTACGGTTCTTCCCCATTGATGTTGACTCCTGCATTGCAAGGGGTTGGTCTAGATGACTCTTTGGATTCAAAGACAGAAAGGTGGTCTTTATGATCCCATTCACACACACACTGCCCTTGCATGCCTCCATCAGAGGATAGCTGAACAGCAACTCATGTGCCAATAATCAAATGGGAATGACTTTGCTTCCCCAACCTTGGGCCCTCCAGATGTTTTGGACTACAACTCCCACCAGCACCAGCCAGTGGAGATGCTGTTTTGGACTGATCTAGGTTAGCAAACTCAGCAAAGTAGTGGTTACATGTCAACTGATGCACTTATAAGCATAGATGACGGCACTTACGCAACAAAACTTTTATAACATGCATAATATGGCTGGTTCCCCTTGGCTGCAGAACCTGACCTGAGACTGCATTCAACATTTTGTGGGAGGAGGGGGGGTTTGCAAGACAATTCTTGTATTTCCCAGGTCAAATCCTTCCAGAGCCTTTGTCCATCACAGGTCCACTGTGGCAACCCTCCAGACTCCACAAGCATAAGAAGCTTGCAACACCAACCAAGCCAAACTTTTTCAATAAACACAGGTTTATAGACAGCGTTTACAACCTGAACCAGGAAACTCTGGAGAAGCCCGCCCTGCTGAAATGCAACCTCTCAAAGAAATGCTCTGTATCTTGGGTCTCCCCACCCAACCTCCTGGAGTGGTGGAGGGAGTTGTGCAAGTGGCGCCTTTTCTTCTCTTTTCGGTCCTGCGGCAGGCACCCCCCTCCCCCGCCGGCTGTGCTAAAGGGTGCTAAATTGGGAGAGGTTGGGAGGAGGAAGCAAGACAGATGGGTTGGGCTCACCACGTTATGCAAGTCCCAGCAGCAGCCTTGGGAAGCTGGGCCGGGACGACAATGCACACTTCCCCCTGAAAGTAGAACCTCTGGTGAAGAAGTGGGGCGGGAGGGGGGCAGAGTAAATGCAAGAGCTCGGAGAATTTTGCAATAAAAGATCCCTCCAAGGGGACTGCAGAATTCTGCACGGAGACCTGGGAAGACAGGGGGCGCAGTCCAAGGGGCGCCACGGGAAACTAAGAGCCAAAGGAGCCTTTTGTCCCGGGAGAGAAACTTTCGGCGCCCAGCCAGAGCTGCAGGACTGGGTGCCCCTGGGGGGGTACCGTGCGGTCCGCCGCCCCGCCCCCCGGCCCGGAGGCAGCCTTACCCGATTCGCTTTGGCTCTCGGAGCCGGAGGAGGGCGGGAGCTTGCAGTCGGCGGGCCAGGCGAAGACGGCGCCGGGGGCCACGCACAGCCCGCCTAGCGCGGCGTCGTGCGGTGCTTGGGCGGCGGTGGGGGCGGCGGCGGCTGGCGGGCCCTGGGCGGGCGGCTTGGCGGTCAGCTTCTCGCCCATGGCTTTCTCCAGGCGCTCGCGGGCCGAGAAGCCGCTCCACATGCAGTCGCGGAGGACGAAGGCGCTCAGGTTGCCCAGCAGCCGGCCGGGCTCCAGCAGGTAGTCGGCGGCCGCGTCCTCGGCGGGGCCCGGCGCCAGCGGCGAGGCCGGCGGACTGGGCAGCAGCTCAAACTTCTTCCAGATGTCCTCGCTGGGCGCGCTCGAGCGGTGGAAGTCGTCGCCGGGCGACTCTTGGTGGTCGTAGAAGTAGGGCGGCGCCGGCGGCGCCTGAGGCAGGTCGAGCTCCATGGCTTGCTCGCGTCCCACCTGCGACGGGAGCTCACCTGAGCGCAGCGCGCGGTAGGGCGCGCTCCTCCGCCTGGAAAAGTGCAAGCGCCGGGCTCTTTCAACTAAGAAGGCGGTGCCGCCGCCTGGTTTGGTAGCTTAGCCTTTCTGTGCTCGCTCGCCCGCTCCGCTGCCGAAAGCGCGGCTTTTCCCGCTTCCCCGCCCCCCCAAAGCGACCCAGTCGGGATCGAGGCGCATTGTTCGCTCGCTCCCTTATATCGCGTCTGGCGCCTCGAGCCCCGCCCGTGCCACAAGCCGAACCAATTAGGAGCGCTGGATTTGCACAAGGGGCGGGGGCAGACAGCGGCTCGCTCCGCGGGAGCTGCTCGCGTTGGCCCACCTTGCTGCGAAGGGAGCGGGCGAGCCCAGCTGGAGGTGCAGAGCTGCTGCTGTTGGGGCACAAGTGCCAGGGCTTCTAGACAGGTGTTTATCGTGAAATCGGCGCTCTGCGTGCAGACAAAAAAGAAGAAGAAAAGTGCAACGCCCATACACATACCTGGCATCAAAATACCAGCCTGTTTAATCCATATTTATCCTTTCTGGTAAAAAGCCGTTGGGCTAAAACAAACCTGTTGCTATCCTAGTGGCCCCTTTGCAATAGCTCAACAAAGTATTTGCAAAGTATGCCCCATTCTTGGGGGAAAGCAGTAGCTCAGTAGTAGAGCATCTTCTTTACATGCAAAAGATCCCAGGTTCAATCCCTGACATCTCCAGGTAGGGCTGGGAGAAATTCCCTTCCTGAAATTCTGCAGAGCTGCTACCAGTCAGTGTGCTGAACAAGATGCTGAACAAGATGGACCAGTAAAAGACAGTTTCACTCATTCCTATTGGGAGCAGTTTAGGCATAACCAGGAAGCAAGACTCTCTGCACATACTCAGTGGTACTGTTATTTACATGTTCCAGGACAGAAATTAAGGGACGCAGGTGGCGCTGTGGGTTAAACCACAGAGCCTAGGACTTGCCGATCAGAAGGTCGGTGGTTCGAATCCCCACAACGGGGTGAGCTCCCGTTGCTCGGTCCCTGCTCCTGCCAACTTAGCAGTTCGAAAGCACGTCAAAGTGCAAGTAGATAAATAGGTACCACTCCGGCGGGAAGGTAAACACCATTTCCGTGCATTGTTCTGCTTTGCCAGAAGCGGCTTAGTCATGATGCTGGCCACATGACCCGGAAGCTGTACTCCGGCTCCCTCGGCCAATAAAGCAAGATGAGCGCCGCAACCCCAGAGTCAGGCACAACTGGACCTAATGGTCAAGGGTCCCTTTACCTTTACCTTGGGACAGAAATTAAGCTCTAGTATTCATATTACTCTATGACCAAAGCTATACCACACCAGGATGGCTGCTAAATCCATTGCATGCTCAGTGCAGGCAGATCAGGAAAAACAACACCACCAGAAAGTACACAAGTTGTGTAAAGAAAGCATACATGCCCACCAATTAGGGACTGTCGCTTATGCCACACATGGATGGAGGGAGCCAACCAACCAACCAACAGAGGCCCCATGTCTTTCAAGTCACCACACCTACAACAGACAAGAAACACAGAACTACGCAGCAACCATCAGCACAGCCAAAGGAGCCCTGTGGTGTTGTCTGTTAAAGCAGCCATCAACACCTTGGGGAAGTTACTGGTTCATGTGATACCATGTAGTTTGCAAAACAGCCACATAAATATATACAGGAGGCTGCCAATTCAATTATTCCTTCCTTCCTTCCTTCCTTCCTTCCTTCCTTTCTTTCTTTCCCACAAGCCATCATTAATTGAAAAGGGGATAGTCAGTTAAGTTGTGCATACACTAAAACAAGGATGCAGACATACTCCCAGGAGCACTGGTTCAAATACTGCCAGGGGAAATTAGAGCAGGTGAGGCAGAGAGTGGTGCTTCTCCTAAGGTTCCTGATGTAGCATTCCCATTGGTCTGGCTGCTTCTGGAGGCTCCAGGCTATGCCAGTCTGACTGGTCAGGTGCCTGCCAATCAGGTCCTGGCCCTACCCCCAGGTAGTTGCCCCTCTCTATCTGATTGGCACCACTGCTCCTTCCTGTGACCTTACAAGCATATAACTGGGCTGCACTAGGATCATGGAGAAATACTCAACCATTATTTAATACCATGGTATGCAGAATAAGAATAGGAATCATAAGACACCCATGTTTCTAAACTTAACCGTAACTTGGTAAGGCATGATTTTGATCCTGTTCATCTGCACAAACTTCCTCCAACAGCATCTTAGACTTGAAACAAACTGCAGGCAGTGCCGAATCCCATCCCACCCCAAGCTGGTGTTTGCTTTCATCTTATTACAGTATTTTGCTTTTCTTTTTAGCATACTGTCTGATAAAAGATTCTGAGTAACTTAAAAGCTCACTCACAACCCAGGGAGTCATGGTCTTAAATGTGAGATAGTATTCTTAATGTTCCTGTTGTTGTTCCTGTTCCTGTTCCTGTTCCTGTTGTTGTTGTTGTTGTTGTTGTTGTTGTTGTTGTTGTGTGTTTTAAAAAAACAGCAACAGAGTAACCTGAGTTGTTTAATGAATCTATAGCTTTATTTGTTTGCAGAGAGCATAGAGGATCTTGGCTATTTAATGAACATTAATCCTGATTTGTTTGTGAGGAAATTAGATTAAGTTGCATTGAGCAAGTGTTATCCCAAACTTTCCAGCGCATTTCCCCACCACTTTCCTTATCATAAAAAGCCCAGTTTTCAAGTAAAGCAGGTTTGTTTTGCAGGAGCTCCAGATCAGCTTTAATTGTACTACATGCATTGCGGGTGTGTGATTAAATCTCACCCCAAAATAACAATAGTTTTGATTTGGTTTGATTAGCACTAGCATGTCAATGGATGCCAATGAATTGTTTAGGGTGCTGAAGTTTAACTCACTGTTCAATGCTACCATCGTCTGGTGACTTGATGGCATTGCACTGGGAAAATTTTCTACATTGGAAGCTTCAAACTCAAAGGGGATGGGGGAGCCAAACGCCTTGCAAAGCAGTTGCTAGTAATAGGCTGCACTCAATTGTTTTTGCTGCCCAGAATGGCACTGTAGGCTAGCTTCTAAAATGCCTTTTGCTATACTGCTCCAATGTGTTGCCAAAATGAGAGTCAGCGTGCTACAGCAGTTAGGGCACTGGACCAGGACCTTCATGGATCCTCATAATTTTTACAAGCACTCCCTCCCCAAGCCACCATCAAACGGAAGCTGGCATTGATTCTACTGTTGTTTACCTTGGTGTTCCATCCTTTCTCTATTGAGCTTAGCATGGCATACACAAGTATGTGGGCTACCTCACTTTATCCTCATAATAAATTGTGAAGTAGGCTGCACTCAGGCACTGACTAGCTCAATGTCACCTAGTGAGGTTTATAGCAGATCAAGGATGTGAAGTCCCAACATGGTGACCACTAACAGTGCAATTTGCAGTCTCACTATTCTGTTTATTTAAAATGTGTATAGACTCCTTTTTGAACAAATTGTTTCCAAAAGTGGTTTCCAAAAATATACACAAATCATTGTATAGTTTGAAAACCAGTTTAAACAGATTTACTGTACAAAATGTTATTAAAATCAGCATGAACTAATATGACTAACTTGATTCTAATAAACTGGGTTATTCTATGTGCTGATACTCTTTGCAGTTCATATATCTATATTTATATAGATTTATATATTTGTAAAACATCAAGCGGTGGAGGGAAAAATATGTACTTCATGTACGCCAGACTGCTATAAAATATGGGTATTCTACCATATGCCTCATTATTTGTGTAATCAGTAAAGTCACACCAGAATGCATAAAAATAAAAAATTTTGATTTTCTTTTGGCCTCTTGTAACTTTTAATTTTTATGTCAGTTTTTCCAATAATGTTGTTTGTCAGATTGCATTATACCATTGGTCCATAGTTAATTGTAATGATTCCCGCATCCTGGCAATAGTTGTTGTTGCAGCAGTTAACAGATGTGTTGAGTTATTTTACAATACAATACAATACATACTGTATTGTGATGACATGAGTTAAGTAGAGCCAGTCCTGGGGTCATGAGGACCGTCTGCCTTGTAATTGTAATTAAAGATATTTCTGTAATCAAATTTTTTTTGTAAATACATTTTTCCAGAACTTTTCAATTTTTGGACACTCCACCACATTTGCTGATATGTCCTTATAGCGGGACATCCTCTCCAACACATGGGAGAACTCATCGGTTTTATATAGCCTAGGCTTCTAGGTATTAGGTTCCAGCTCTGTGCAATTTTAAGTAGTCTTTCTCTGGTCATTGCTGCTATGGATTTGTGTGGCACTTTTGTCCACATTTTTGTCCATGCCTCTTTTTAGAGCCAGTATAGTGTAGTGCTTATGAGTGCTGACCTAAGAAGAAAAAAAGAGTGCTGACCTAAGGTCTGGGATAACAGGGTTCATAAACCCCACACAGTCATGAAGCTCACTGGATGACCTCAGGCCAGTCACTGTCTCTCAGCCTAACCTACTACACAGGGTTGTTGTGAGGATAAAATGTGGAGGGAGAGCACCATATACACTACCTTGAACAACATGGAGGAAAAGTTGGTAAACTGTATAAATGTAATAAATAAGACAAACTTGAAAGAACAAATGGAGTGAATCTGGCTCACTCAGCCTACCCATGAGGGAACACATTATTATTTACCCAGGCTTTGTTTTTTGGGAGGGCAGGTAGATAAAGGATGAACACAGCAAAGGCCACAGACCTGAGTTTAGTGGGAAGGGCTTTGAAATGTACATATTTTGGGGTGACCTTATTGCCCTTTCTTACCTACTTTAATGCTGTTGTTTATTACTTTGAGGCACTTGAGGGTTAGTGTGGTATAATGCTTATACAGTATCAGACTAGGACCTGGGAGAGACCAAGGTTCAAATCCCCATTAGGCCATGAAGCTCTCTGGCTGGCTTTGGGCCTAGCCTACCTCACAGGGTGGTTATGGGGGTTAAATGAGGAGGTGAACCATGCATGCTACATTAGAGCTCCTTTGAGAAAAAGGTGGGATATAAATGCAAGGAATCATAAGAATAAAAAAATCAAATTAAGCAACCAAGCATGATACGGAAAGACTGCCCTCATATAAATCCTCCTCTTGGCCCCTCGTAAAATGCCACTTTTTTTCGAAGCCCGCACAGGGCGCCTCACTATATTTTACAGAAGACAACATCCTGCGCCAGCATTTCGAGAGC